TTTCTTTCCCAGCAAAGGAGGGCGAGGAAACAAACACAGCACCCACCCACCCCCCAAACCAACGTGCACTGAGTAGGCGAGCTGGTAAAGGCGGGAGCAGCCGGGATTCAAATCTTTCCCCCCACCCACCCCGCGGCTACCCCTTGACGAGGAGGAGCCGCCTGAACCCAAACAAACACACAAAGCACATGACTCGCGCTCACCTCCGGGGCCGGGATGCTGCTGCTGCTGCTGCTTTTTCTGAGGGCTGCGACGCTCCCCGGCCAGGTGCTCCCTCCTCGCCTACCAGTCTTCCTCTTTTCTGCGCCCTCCTTCCCCCGCAAGTTCCTCTCCAGCCTACGGCGCGGGGAGGACCTGCCTCCTTTCTCCGGGGCAGCCCGGGACCGCCGCGTGGAGTTGGCGCGAGCGGGAAAGCGGTAGCAGCACCGGCAGCGCCCCTCACCTCCTCAGCTTCGACGGACTCGCCTGCATGCAAGCCGAGTGCCGCCCACTCCTTCCAGCCCACCGCTATTCCGGGCAAGAAGGGGAGCGGGGTGCCCACGGCTCCTTTGTTGCCGGTGGGGGAAAAGGAGGAGGAGGAGGAGGATGCGCTGCACTGAGCAAAAAAAGGGACCTGAGCGGGTGGGAAAACGGAAGTAGCCCTGTGCTCGGCTCGTCGGCTCTTCCCTCCCTGTTGTTTCTCCTTTTGCAGGATGGAGTCGGCTGCAGTCCTGGTACCTGCTCCCCGCCCCCGGGAGTAAGCCCCGCTGGACTCAGCCGCGCGTACTTCTGAGCAGACCTGAATAACATCTCGGTCTTGCTTCTTGCTTACCCATTATTCTAGGTTCCCTCCCGCTTTCCGTCTGGGCAGCTGCTTCTCTTTTAGCTCACAAAGCCTCGGTTCCGAAGATGTAGCAGCAGCCCTGCCTAACCTCAGTTTAACCGGGAGCTGAATTCAGCAGAGCTTTCTTCTGAGTAAACATGGTGTTGTAAACAAAAATTGCCCTTTTCCCTTATGGGGTATCCAAGAGCCCATATAGAGTCCTTACATAGGTTCCCTATTGGTAGGAGAAAATAACAGAGGCCAAACAGAGAATATTGAGAAGCAAAGCAGCTAGTAGGCTTGATCTTTATTGATCTGTTGCAACAGGGTGCTCCCCTCACACGCAGGAAAGGAGGAGGAACCCAGAACAATGGTGCGCAAGGCCAAGACTTTTGAAATTCCCACCCTGTAGATCAAGACCACCCCCAGAAACATCATACATACATCACAGAAGGGGTGTAACCTAAGACCACCCCTCAGATACATCACACCTACATCACAGAAAAGGCGGTCTAAAACAAATTTGAATGTTGTTTTTCTCCTGTCATTGTTTATCTCCTGTCTGGCAGGTTACTTGATTTGATTTCCTGGGGAGCCTGACCAGTCTTTTGTAATGATAAATACTTCCTGGGCCAGGTCACAGGCTCACACCCTATTCATATCTTAAATGTGCCTTTAAGACAGGATTTGTGAGGAAAAATACGATGGGAAGGTTTGCCACCTTGACCTTGCAGAGAAAACATTTGCTCAGTTTAGGAATCAAAATGGTTCCAGGTCGGTCTTCCTGTGCTGATCTATGTACGTGCTTGGTTGGTACACTTATGAACATTACCATATATCTAAGACCTCAAAATTCCTATCACAATGGTGACGACTATGCTGTGTAAATGGAGAGTTGTGTGCATGCATATGTGTGTAGACACACACTATCTCAACATAACACTTTACACGATACGTCTACTCTGAATATATCCGTCTCTCTGTCTCTGAAACAAAATAAAGTTTTTGTCAAGAGCTGAGTTCTTGCCTGAAGGTGGTTTGAGGGGATGTGTGGGCAAAAGTGTCTTCCAGTGAGCTTGCCTGGCTGCAAGAGTGCTGTTATGTACTGAAGTTCTTAACCTGGGCCAGCAGGGGGATACTGTAGATTGTTTTCACTCGGGTCCACATATGCAAATAAGGGATTGAAAGTGAAGTTCAGTGATTGGATAGTTACAGAAAATGGTTACTGTTGCATTCTAGTGGAGCTCTATATAAGCAGGCTGGCTGAACCCTTCAGTTCAGTTCTGTTCTGGCCTGTGAATAAATAAGAGCTGTTTGAAGAATCGCTGTGTCGTCTGATATGTTCACCCACAACTTAACAAGTGCTATATGGTAACTTGTGTCCAATTCATATTGCAGTTAGCCTTCCTTGTCAGCCACGTGTCTAGGTGGCTTATTCCGGGGTGAGCAGGGAGGGAAACAATACACCAGCCAATTTCGCCCCCCCCCAAAAAAAAACTAGTAGAGAGAATGTGAAGAGAATGTGAATGCCAGGGGGATGGAAAGGCAACGACCTTCCAATTCTAGCCTTCCCCATGCAAAGTGTGTGTTAATGTACATAATGAGCTATATAAAGGTCAAATTAACAACAAAAAATAGTGAACGCCAGGAAAAAATAAGGATACATTGCACAAGGGGATGTAAACAAATAAAAGTTTGCACTAGTTTAAAACTAGTGTGGAGCTTGCTTTCTCAAAAGTATCATTGACACCATAAATTCGAGGGGGAAATAAGGGTTAGATACGTAGTAGGAACAGATGACAATGTGACTATAGTCAAGTGTTTAGGAGAAGTGCTGAGAATGATATGCAGAACAAAGCAAGCTTTCTTGTCCCCTAAAAGTAGGGAAGAGAGAAAATAAATACTTTAGGGTGTGTTTGTTAACTCATCCTTGAAGGACCCTCTTGCTAGTCTTGTTTCTGACCTTTAGATTTTACTTCCTGTTCGACAACCAATGGAAAGCTTTTTAACTGGTTGCTATAGAAGCATCTGGAAACTAATTGTGGAAAGCATTTGGGGGGGGGAATTTACTGGTTGCTGGTTTGATTTTTCTGCCCAGAAAACCTGAAAAGGCTTCATGCTGAGCCACGCACACTGATAAAATCAGAAATTAGACCAGAGTTACAGGCTAGATGGCGAACCAAACAGTGATCTGTAGTGTACACAAAGCAGTGTTTCTGTTCCTCTAAGGCTGTTTTCATCCTTTGCCACCAAATACTCATGAAAAATAAGAGGGGGGAAAGCCACTATGTGAATAATGTAAAAGAATAAAGGGTAACTTATGGTAAATATTTTTTCAGATCAATTTTATCACTTTATTTCACCTTTTAGCAATAAGCACCCAATCCTGCTCTGGTAATCACAACTGCAGAATGAATTACCGTATTTTTTGCTCTATAAGACTCACCTTTTCCCTCCTGAAAAGTAATGGGAAATGTGTGTGCATCTTATGGAGCAAATGCAGGCTGTGCAGCTATCCCAGAAGCCAGAACAGCAAGAGGGATTCGTGTTTTCACTGCGCAGCGATCCCTCTTGCTGTTCTGGCTTCTGAGATTCAGAATATTTTTTTCTTGTTTTCCTCCTCCAAAAACTAGGTGCGTCTTGTGGCCTGGTGCGTCTTATAGAGCGAAAAATAAGGTAATTCTTACTTCTCACTTCAGACAAACCAATATGCTTCTTTATTGCTGGCTTACTGATACTGAAAAGCAGAACAAAGGAAAGTTCAAGGCATGGAGTCTTAACTCCAGACGATAATACAAAATTCTACCTCTTCAAAGGTTTAATAATAATAATAATAATAATAATAATAATAATAATAATAATAATTTATTATTTATACCCCACCCATCTGGCTGGGTTTCCCCAGCCACTCTGGGCGGCATCCAACAAAACACTAAAATACAATAACCTATTAAACATTAAAAGCTTCCCTAAACAGGGCTACCTTCAGATGTCTACTAAAAGTCTGGTAGTTATTTTTCTCTTTGACATCTGGTGGGAGGGTGTTCCACAGGGCGGGTGCCACTACCGAGAAGGCCCTCTGCCTGGTTCCCTGTAACTTGGCTTCTCACAGCGAGGGAACCACCAGAAGGCCCTTGGAGCTGGACCTCAGTGTCCGGGCAGAACGATGGAGGTGTTACAGGTGGTTGGTTTTTCAGCATCAGTTATTGGGTGATCGTGATCATGAAAAACCCACCCTCACGAAGGGAACGTCTTGAGTAAGCAGGCTTTTGGGGCACTTGCAGAGGATGCTTTCATTGTGCATTGTTCACTGAATTTTTTCAGAGGGTTTCTGCTCTTTACATTGTTCCTGTTCTTAATACAAATTGCCATTCTTTAAATGGAGGCAGCCACCCCCTGTCATGTCACAGATTAAAAAATATATATTCCCTGTCCCCCCAAGTGGCTAGATTTTAATGTACCACAATCTAACATACGGCGGTGGGCTGTTTTCTTGACACACTATGATTTTAGTCCACACAAGAACACCAGGAGGAACTAAATTTCATCCTGTTATGACAACAGAAGTGTTTCTATATATGAAGCTTAAAGTAGTTCTTCTTTCAGTCTGTTCATAACACCTACATCTTCTCTCTGAGTTTCTTCATCCAAAGTTAGGGCTGATTTTGGGTCCTGAAAATCCTGCTATAATGTGTGAGTCCGTATAGGAAAGCTTGCCCTGTGCAGGAATTAGCATTCTCACATCTTGACTGGTTAAAAAGCAACCACCATGGGGAATTAAAATAATCTAGCACTGTACACACCGTTTTGAGATCTAATGTGACTACCAGAAAGCTCCCACAGTTGGTGCACTAACGGAAACTCTATGTGGAACTAGTAAATGCCTGCAGCATATAAACAAATGGGCAAAACTGCAATTAGAAATCAAAATGTCTGTTGAATGCAACATTTTCATTTTGAATTAAATATATTTCCCTCTTCTCCTCTAAATGACTTACCTTGCTCAGTAAAAACAAGCACACACCCCAAAACAAATATGCAAATTTTATTTTATTGCAAGCAGATTTAAACATCTACTGCTTTATACAATCTACAGAAAGTTCAAAAATATTAATATAAAGAATTCATGTTTAGGTATTTACGGAAAAGAAAGTTTAAAAACAGCACTGAAAATAAACTTTACAGTAATGCACATGTATATCATATATATTTATATTTATTTATATTCTTAGTATTTGAGACTGCTTTGATCCAGTTAATGAAGTGTTATAGCTTAGTCTAAACAGTAGTTTTGAAGGCTGAATTATCATCAGATAAGTGCACCTATCATTATACCATTTAAAATACATGTCAGTATTTGGTGCTGATGAGTAAAGATATTTTAATGATTAATGCACTGATAACTATGATCCACCATTCCCAAAAAGCTGTTTGTTTCTTTTTGCCAATTACACATTACAGACTGAAGGAATATTGATAGTGCATACAAGACAGAATTTTGTTCAGACACAATGTACAATTAAAATTCTGTACTTCTTTCGACAAAGGTAAAGCTGTATGAACTGAAGTGTGCAATTGTGCAATGTACAATCATGTACATATTTCTCTCTTATAATACTCTGACAGAACTCCATTAAAGCTTCTCAACATGATCTCACTGATATCACCAACAAGTGGAGTTTCCTTCATTTGATGCTTGCATTACAGTGGAATAAATAGGCTGATGCAAGCAAGTGAATAAATGGTATACTGTATATTAAAGAGCTGAATAAATTAATAATTACTGAGGGCCATCAAAATTATCTGAATATTACTGCTAGCTACTCTAAAGAATAAGTAGTTTCAATGGATGTATATGTTTTCGTCTTAATGGATATTTGGTTGATGCCCTCCAGTTCCAACACATTTATGAAAGCATTTGAAATGTTTTCACATTAGAGGTTCAACAATTCAGACAAGGCCATTTGTGTGACACGGAATGGAGTTTCCCACTTCATATAAATTTCTATCAATTTTACATTTTTGACTCAGGTCGCAACCCTACTATTGATCGTTGGTTGTTGCGCCTGACTAATTCTCCTAATCCAGCTGGGTGCATGGAAATATGTTTCTGTACATTGATCATGCTTCTAGAATTATTTCCTCCTCTTTCACTTGGTCCCCAAGCTGGGCAGATCCTCATGTACAGGACAGGAGTGACCAGCCTGTGGACTTTCGGATGTGGTTGAGACTCCAGCTCCCATCAGCCCCAATGAGCATAGCCAATGTTCAGGAATAACGGAAGTTGCGTTCCAGCAACATCTGGAAGGTCCTAGGTTTTCTCATCCTTCGCAGCATGTCTGCACCAAATTGCTATGCACAAGAATATCTAAGGCCTACTAGTTTAGCTTCTGTATTACACCTGTACATCTATTGCAGAAAGAAAATGAAGGCCTATAGAGCCTTTCCTTTCCCCCCCATTTAAACAGTGTATTTTTAAAGCTCTGATTGCTTAATGGAAGCAGAATTCCTCCTTTAAATTCAAAAATATCCTCCTAGTGGTGCAGCAATAAAACTGCTAGCACATTTGCAGAGCTAAGCAGGGTCTGGTGTGGTTTCAGACAGGATGGGTGTTGAGATTCCTGCATTATAAAGGGTTGGACTAGACAAGTCTTAGGGTCCCTTCCAACTGTACAATTCTATGTTTCTACGATTTCTCCTTCTAATGCAATACAATCAATCATAAGTGTTTGTTTTCTTAAAAAAACAAAAACTACCATTAAATATTTCAGCCTGTTGAAAGATCATTCACTTTTTAGGAAACAGTTGAGATGCAAGAATATTGCAGTAAACCATTTTTGTTAGTAGGCAGAGCAGGAATGCAGCATTTTCAAATCATCAAGCAAAGGGTCTTCTTACTTAAGGCTAAAAGATGGAAATGAACAAAACAAAAACAAGGAACTGGTAGAAAGCTTCATGGAATAAAAATGTAAGAATAGTAGATAGCAGCAGCTGGTTGTAAGCAGAATGTACCACGTTAAAAGCTATTATTCACAAGCAAAAGCAAAAAAGCATTTTTTTAAAAAAAATCAGTAGCTTTGGATGATTCTGAAACAACAAACCTATTTCTAATTTTAACATTCATCAGAATTTCAACATTCAACCACAATTCCACTATAAGCTAAACTCTGATCCAAAACTCATAGGTATAAAAAAACTCTCTAAAACATACAATTAAAAAACAATAGAAATGTTGTGTTAACAAATGTATGCATATAACAGATATATAAATAGCTACAGTATTGAAAAATATTTCAGTGCAAAGGCAATTTTAAGATTTCTAAAAAACCCATTAAAAATAATTTTGTTAACTACACCCGAACAGGAGATTTGTCACTACTACAGGTATAAAATCAATACTCACATCAAGTTAATTTTTAAAAAATATATATTTGTAACCAGTGTTTTATGTAGGGGACATTTCTACTAGACATTCAAGTATGTAATGTCAAATAAATATTAACTTCCGGTATATTACTATCAGTATGTGAACAACACTGGAAATGGAAAGTGCTTCATTTTAAATGACAAACGCTGAGATGTTGTGCGTCATGAGGGGGGTGAGACTTGAGAAGTAAGGGAACTACCATCAGATTCTCTGTCTCTGTAATCTTTGGTATAATAAAATGTTCACAATTTGCCTTTCAAAGCATTATGTTCCCATCTCCCCCAAACCTCTGTTCAGGGAAGGCAAGAGAGAGAACCTGTGCCTTTTCTTCCACACACAAACTTTCTTTTCCCTACAAAGTAATCCTTCGGCAAAGTTGACACCCTAAATAAAACACTGGGAGAAAAGAAACAGAACTGATCTGTGTATGCTATTAACAAAACCAGTACACAGCAAAACTAGAGCCACGAATAGAGCCGAAGTACAAGCTGGCTGTAATGATTTAAAATGACAGATAAAGCGTTTGAATAATCATGCACATCTTTTTTTCTTTTCTGAAGAATAGCTGAATTCACATTCGAAGAGGAGGAAGGGGGAAACTTAACCTAGTGGTCATTACCGAATATGAGTAGTCACTAAGTAGACATTCTGTTAAACATTCTGTCTCCCTCACCCTTTCAAAGTTCAAATCAAAAATTAAAAACCAGCATTTAAAATACAGTATTATCTAGTTGACTGTTATGGAAGCAATTATTTCCTTTCCACAACAGGGGGGAAACAAAAAAACTTCGGGTAGCAAAGTACTTCCTAATACATCCATACTCTACTTTAGAGGTAGCAGAATGGTAGAATACTGGTTCGTTCTTTAAATTTCTAAGACTAAATTCTTAAATTCAGTAATTATTTTCAACTCAATACCTACAGTGTCACATCACTCGTTTGCTAGCCAGCTTGACTTCCCAAAGGTCTGTAGGCAGTCTAAGTAAAAATGTATTGGTCTAAAGTGTGGGGAAGGGTGTTGGGTCTTAAAATCACACATAGACGTCCTACTTGGTGACTTACAATAAAATGGATATTAGAGAGTGTTTCTTGAAAGCAGATTTGCACAGAGGAAACACCAGTTTGTTCTACAGAGAGAGCAAAGAAAAGACAAAACACCAGTCAGAAACAGCACCTATGAAATATGTTCTCAGCTACTTTCACTGGGGGTCTGAGACCGTTGCTTAGTTAGAGGGCTGACGAAATTTTAACCACTGATCTCAGAAGAGGACGTTTGACTAAAGCAGGACTTTTTCAAGTAATAAAGGAAAAGAGATGATGGGAGTCAATAAACATACAAAGGTTTTTGACAGGATGGAGTGAAATTACAGTGCTGTTCATCCTCACAGTGCCAGACTGCGTAGAAAAATCCATTGCTTCAACAGTTTAAAACATAATAAGGAAGGGCAAGACTCCTGGGAAAGATTTGTACTCCATGCTCTTTGATCCAGTTTGTCAGACTATTACATCGGACAGTTAAAGCCAGCAAAATTTCAATCAGTGCTGTTAAATGGTCATTTGCAGATGTAGTAGGAGCTGGGGTTGGAATGAGAGGGAGGAATAGTTGCTAGTTCTTAAAGGCTTGAGTTGGTGATCTCTCATAGGGATGTTTCCAGACCTGAACCCCTGTGGTAGTACCTGGCACTGGAATCACAACGCTTATTATTGGAGTAGCCAAAGATGGAAGGGAGTACTGAATAATCATAGTTTCTCCAATGCGTAAACATTGTTTTTTTAGAATGAGAACTAGACCTTCTTGCTGGGGTATTTTTGCAGTCATTGCTCCTGTATCTTGGACTCTTCAGAGAGGCAAGAGGTGTGAATTCTGAAAAATGGTCCCGACCATGGCTTGATTTATTCTGCCAAGAAAACAAGTAATAGGTTATGAAGCTGTCATCAGAGTAATCAACTGAAAGGCTTTAAGGTGGTACCTAGCATAGGGGCAATATGGCCAGATGGAGACATATAAATTGCCAATAGAGCACCACTGTTTGGCTCATTTAAAAATGCAGACACAGTCTCAACAGAGGAGTAATTTCAATTTATTTTAATTCACAATTTCGTCTTCTTTTACATACAGAACAACTTTTTGTTGACATTTTGCTTACGAGGAATAAGATACTCAGATATGAACCACTTTTTATCTTGCCTTTTGGATGTCTGATAATCTTTTGATATTTGGAATGACTGATATGGGTGATAGTTTTCTCAGTAGCTAGCAGATAAATTTAAATTGATAAGTTAATTTATACTGTCCTTACTGTTCCTAGCCTGTATTTAGGAAATGTCCAGAGTCTAGGCTATTCTGCACAGGAACAGATGGGAATTTGAATACACTCTCCTGATCTCCATGGAGCGTGTTGCTTTATGGAAGCTATTTTAGGAATCCCAATCATCTGGGCATTTGTGTCACTTTGGAAATGAAAGCACTTCCTTTCCTGAGGGCTGTTTTTATCTTTGAATAAATGTGTGGCTGAGATGAAATGCTTTTGCTTCTTGCTAATACTTGTGACTTGTAAAAAGGTAAAGGTAAAGGTACCCCTGCCCGTACGGGCCAGTCTTGACAGACTCTAGGGTTGTGTGCTCATCTCACTCTAGAGGCCGGGAGCCAGCGCTGTCCGGAGACACTTCCGGGTCACGTGGCCACGTGACCCGGAAACGCCGTTTACCTTCCCGCTAGTAAGCGGTCCCTATTTATCTACTTGCACCCGGGGGTGCTTTTGAACTGCTAGGTTGGCAGGCGCTGGGACCGAGCAACGGAAGCGCACCCCGCCGCGGGGATTCGAACCACCGACCATGCGATCGGCAAGTCCTAGGTGCTGAGGTTTTACCCGCAGCGCCACCCGCGTCCCTGACTTGTAAAAAACCAAGTTGCAAATGTTCCCTGTGGGGAGATATGAAGACTCTAGCAGATATATGTGCCCTTGTGCATCTGCTTTTCCCCAATTCCTGGGAGTCTGTAGCCTTTGTCTTACATTTGTTTAGCCAGGCTAAAAGCTGGTGCCTTTTGAAATTTTCCTTTATCATATTTCCACATCCAAAGGTAAAAGACAGGGCACTGAGAAGGCAGGACCCAATATCATGGATTCATAATATTTGGAAATTATGCAGATATATTTGAGGGGGGCAAATGGGATTCTGAATTCTGCTCAAACCAATGTTACTAATTTAATCTGAATCTAAATACGGTACTTGTGGCTTATGCTTAGTCACTGAATCTCATTTGAAGAATAGCGATTGACACAAAACAGCTTACAATTCATATTTAATTAAAGCTGCAATCATGCACATAAATCCTATTAGAATCAGAGTAAAAAAAAAAATCAGAACGGAACATGCAGCTTCTAAATCTCAACCTTCCCAGAAGACACACCCAAAATACTACACAAAAACCCCCACAAAACTTACCTGTGCTCTGAAATGCATTGAGAATAGACTGCGATATCAGAAACTGCAGAGATTATATTTAATTTGATAAGGCACAGCAAAAACTCTGGAGGAAGAAGTTTTCTCTTTGAAAACACCACAGCACACCAACAGAAATTACCAAACGGTAACACGTGCAATACTGTTACCTATCAATGATCTAATTATGCCTCGGAAGCAGAAAGGGGTCCTTCAAGGAGTGGCCCATCGTTGTTCGCCAGTGCATTAAGGGCAGTTTTATGTTTCGTACTCTTCTGCAAGGATGAGGAAAAACACTGAGACTATTGCTCAATATGGACATCTCGCGGTATTGGAGAGGAAAATAACAACTGCAGTGTTAGGATGGCTAACATATGCCAAATCATCAACACTGTTAATAAGAAATGAACAAACGAACAAGAAGCAGTTATTGTATTAGAGTTTACTAGTAGATGTATATTATTTCAGACCCTCCTTGCCCTATTTACAGTGGAAATGGGGGGAAAGTGCATTTGAGATTGTTGTTTGCAACAGCCTTAAAGTCCTACAACATTTGTCCCAGTTGCAAATGGACTGTCCCTTTCTACTTCTGGAGAAGTTAACTTCTTAAGTAGGAGGTAATCTTCTAATATGTCCATGTAAAGGCCAATATGAAGGTCACCCTATATGTATCATTTAACTACCACCATCACAGGATTTAAACTCATATCACATTGTTTCATATTTACTGCTTGACATTTTAATTAAAGGAAGGCGTTTTGAGGTTTTTAGCAGATTCATGTAAATGAGGAAAGGGTATAGCAATTCAGTGTTCTTCAAGTATGAAAGTTTAAAACTGGCATCAAGTTTACACTAAGAGTCTTAATGTTAAAAAGAAGGAAAGAAGAATTAAGCAGAAAAGTTAACACATAAAAACAAATTTGTAATTCAAAATAAGTATAATTATGTATAGTAGGCATACGCTGGAATGAAAGAATGCACCAGCTAAATATTCAAATTAGATGAATATCGTGACTGGTGTCATGACTCTTGAAACAGAAAACAGAAACAAGATTTGGCTTGTAGTTTACCAAAAGAGACAGATTCCTCCAAAGCTTTTGCAGATTCATTGATTATAATATCCCAAAGCAGTTTGCACAAATACCAATATTAAACATTCTGAAAACACCAACAGCAAAAGAAGACTTTAAAAAGTCAGGGTTTTGTTTTTGTTTTGTTTTTAAAAAACAACCCTGTAGAGTCATGAAACAGTGATCTTGCTCACCACATACAGAGGTGATAGCTGAATACAAAGCGAGAAACACAATGAATTGGGAGTTTGTTAAAATGGAAAGAGAAAAGCTGAAGAATGCTCTAAAGTTAAATTTCTAAGTTCAAACTAGGTCATGCACAAACTACCCTGGTTTCTGATCTGGGTTTGCAGGAAAAGCACAAACCATAGTTTGCTGGTGTGAATGAAGTCCCAAACTTTGGTTTGCCTCAGACCAGGAAATAAAACAGCAAAATGACATGTGTAAGGATGGTGTGCACAAGCCTCAAGATCTAACCAGACTTGTGTACATCTGAACTACCCAATTGCTCAGAAGCTCCCATCACATTTGTGTCTGACAAACAGTCCACTGAGGTGATTGCAACTCACAATGCAAGCACAATGTGCATTGATCTATCAAGAACCACCATTACTTAAAATTGACAGTTCCTGCAATGCATATTATGCTATTCACATACAAAGAATGACAAGTAAAGTGCACATAACTATTTATGGTATACAGATACTTTTAGAAAAGCGAAGAGAGGGAATGTCGACAGAACATGTTGTAAGTACCAAGAGGTTTAACGTACAGTTTGGATATGAAGTATGACTAACATCATATGAACTGTGGACACACTTTCTAAAGTCCTCTGAACGAAATGGCCAAGCATGCAGAAAGGCAGGGGGGAAAATCACCTTTTGCTCCATTAGAAACTTAGACTGCTTGAAGTCTGAGAAAGCATAAAGATGGTGGACTGCTCAACAGAAAGGCACTGATGTTTAGTCTGATTTCCCCCAGAAGGTTGAAGAAAGTACCCGTGTACATCATTTACAGTTTAAAGCAAGGTAGCAGTGATTTAGGAAAAGGAGATTGGAAGACAGGAGCATATTGGGAGAGGGAAGAGAAGAAACACAAGGAATAAATCTGATTAAAGGCTAAAGGCTTTCTAGTGCATATTACAAATACAAGCAACAAGTTGCCTAGGAAGGAAATACTAGACAGTTCTTATTCCACCCATTAGATCTAGTCACTTAAAACTTGCAATACCAGACTTCTTAAAATCACAGCACATAGTTCCTTTACTATGCCCTTTTCTAGATGTCTTGCTCAAGTAGACAGACATCCAGTGTGTTAATAGTTTTTACCAGCTTCTGTTAGGTGACCACCATAACTCTAAGGGCAACTGTCAAAATGCTAAGGGATTGTTCAACTTCCTAATCGTACTGAATTATTTCCATACTATTCCTGTAATTTTTTTACAGGCTACAGTACGCTAATTTGGTTCTTCACTTTGAACTTCAAGCTATTCCCATGGTCCAGTTATGATTACCAAAAAATAGGTCATTCAGATTATTACATAAGAGACAGTACGATGTGGATTATATAGGTGAGCAAGATTTTCTTTTACATAATATCTAAATATTGGTGATCTCTCTAAAATCATCAGCTGGGGATTAACAAGAAGGCAACTCACTCAAGGCATTCAATACTGGGTGGGGATGATTTTGGCAGGGCAAATTTGGTGAACATGTTAAAATAAAGTAACACATAGACTGATCCAGTGGCTTCTGCTGAACAACCATGGTTCTACTTGCAACCATGTCTGGAATTACATTTTTGCTTAAATTCCAGTGTCAGGTTTTTGCCTTGCAAGTCAGGCTGCTTTGGAGAAATGCAATGATATTCAGGAGGGGAAGGGGAAAGGCCAGAGTGGTGCAAATACACCAGTGGGAGTGGCAGATTTACACCACCAGTGTGTTCGCATCGTGTTGGCTTTGCCCATGCCTTGCCCCTCCCCTTCTATCTCCTGGTAAGTAGCAGTGACACAGATGATTGAAGTCCAAGCGCGTGGCTGTAGTCCACCATGTTGTCTGCTACTGCTGAATAACATGGAAACATTTATGCCAAATTTTGATATCTGAATACCTGCCCTTGCCCCCCCCCCAACCCTCTCCAAATACTGGTATTTTAATCTGGCTAGGAACTCTGATTTTAGGGTCGCCATATTTCAAAAAGTAAAATTTCTGACACCCACAAAGTTGTTGAGCTAGTGATTTTTAGCTTTCGGAGCTGTTTCTTTTTCCATAAAGGACATGTCAGGAATTTTCCTGACGTATGGCAAGCCTACTAATCTTAAACATCCTGGCTTGCAATTTATTTACTATCTATAACCACCAGCAAACTGATGGCAGTGTTTATTTCAGTGCTGCAAAAGCTTTGTATCTTCAATTCTTTGCGAACAATTAATTGGCCACGTCCAGATGAAATTCTCTCCTACCTCTCTTTACACACAGCAGAGGAATGAAATTGCATCTTTCAACCTCAACCCAGCAGTCAGGTATGTCTGCCTTGCCTCCAACCCCACTAGAGATCCATGCAAATTGAATAGGCTATACACAGGCAAACCCAATGTATATAAATGCAAATTGTGCAATTGATTTCCTCTTCAAAAGCCCAGGAATTATCTGCTTGATTTAGGACCACGCAAGTTGGATTTTACATGTGTACATCCTACTCAAGGGCTACAGTTTATTCAGGACAGGGGTATCTAAATTCTGCTAGAACAGGAGAACTTGGTGAGTGATCTTATTTTCTCCCACAGCACATAAGGAAGTGGTAAGTGAGAATAGTGCCCAAACCAGGGTAGACTTTCATTTTCAAATTATTAACACAAGAGAAGCCACAGGTGTATGAAACTAATTTGATGCCTCATCATGTATCTACACAGATATTTGAAATTCAAGAATATTTTTAGCTATTCATCAAACAGAGGGAATTAAAGAAACAACAGATTAATGAAGGAGATGAAATATTGCTAACAGAAATATGATGCAGTTTTCATTAAACAATGTCTTTAATACGAAAAGCATCTGTTGAAATTTCAGGATAATCTTTCTAGAAACTAGGCTTCAGAAACAAGCAGCTTCAGTGTTCTAGCTAAACATGCAACACACGTTATCATTCAAAGTTCACTATAATTTCTAAATTGACAACGTACTAAATTGTACTGATGGTTCCAGTTATTATCTTTAATGAATGATTTTTTATTTATTTTGCCTAAAAATACTTTGCATACCTGAATTTGATTCCTCTCATTTTTTAAATCATGTTTATTATATTCTAAGCCAGTATTCTAGATTGAACGCTTCTTCAAATACAATGGGCAATAAAGTGATACATAAATGTAGGATATAAAACTCAGTGGAGTTGTTTGGAAGGAGGGAGCTGAAGCTATCAATGCTAATTTGCATAGGTTGCCATTATAAGTTAACCAAGTTTAAAACAGGCTGCAGAACAGTTTCATGTTGTTTTGTGCTGCTGAAAGTAACAGAAAGGGGACTTTTTGGGGGGGGGGGAGGTTATTAAAAAATTAAGAAATATCAGCCCTGCATCTGTGACTGAACTTGCACTTTCCCCAGATACTTAAATTATTATACTTTCTTATCCACCTATCCAAGGTGGGTTACAACGATATGAAAATACAATAAAATCAGTTAAGCAATTTACAATCGGAAAATTAGGGTGCCTGCATAGTGTTAGGTGCACCTCTATGTGTTTGTGGGGGCTGGGAATAGCACAGCTTAGAGGCTGCTACAGGGAAAAGACCTCTCTCACTGTCATGTGGCCTGCACCTCTTGCTAATCTGAATAGGGCATCTGTAGAGAAGGAGATTGTCTTTCAGACATTTGACAGCTAAGACATTTAGGGCTTTTTAAACACTAAATGTGAGCACCCTAAATTTGGACTAGAAACAAACCAGCGCAGCTGTTTTAGAACGGAGGTTATGAGTGTTTTAAAATGTCTGTATCCTGGGGCTTTTCGTATCTGGAAGCATGCTAGTGAAATGGGTTGGGGGGGCAGGATATAAACTGAGTAAAATAAATAAATACAAATTTATTGGAAAGCAAACCTCACACACCACCCTTGGCCACCTCACAACCATCAGGTATGCTCACACCAGATACTCACTGAATTATAAATAATTCTGAAAACGCAAGCGAAAAATGGAAGCCACTTTGGTGGTGAGGAAAAGAGACTTAGAGGGCCGGTTTTCAGCAGGGCACTAGGTACTTGACCCTTAAGCATGAAAATGCCAGCCACACTTGTTTGTAAAAATAAGTCCCTTTTGGCCTTGGTGGAAGTGAACAGACTTCTCTGAGATTGGGCTATAAATCTAAGATTAGGCTTCCATCATCAATTATCAAGACTGTGGGATGTTTACCTGGATTCTTTCTGTTGCTGTAGGCCATAATTGCCTGCATAAAATTTTCTTCAGAACATCTGGAAGAAGGCTCACCGTTATGAGCATAATAATACCCAGCCATGCAGGACCGCTAGACAGCATTTGCATGAACACATAGTACATCCTCTGGTAATTGAGAAAAGGCCTAATTGGGTAGAAGAAAAACAGAACACAACCATGGTGGATAAATGAAGTCGAACTCAAAATATAGATGGTTTCAGCATGCAATAATAATAATAATAATAATAATAATGTTTATTTATTTATACCCCACTCATCTGGTTGGGTTTCCCCAGCCACTCTGGGCAGCACCCAACAGAATATTTAAAACACGATAAAACATAAAGCATTAAAAACTTCCCTAAACAGGGCTGCCTTCAGATGTCTTTTAAAAGTCAGAGAGTTGTTTCTTTGACATCTGATGGAAGGGCATTCCACAGGGTGGGCGCCACCACCGAGAAGGCCCTCTGCCTGGTTCCCTGTAACCTCACTTGTCGCAGTGAGAGGACCACAAGAAGGGCCTCGGAGCTGGACCTCAGTGTCCGGGCTGAACGATGGGGGTGGAGACGCTCCTTCAGGTATACTGAGCCGAGGCCGTTTGGGGCTTTAAAGGTCAGCACCAACACTTTGAGTTGTGCTCAGAAATGTACTGGGAGCCAATGTAGGTCTTTCAGAACCAGTGTTATATGGTCTTGGTGGCTATTCTTATTCTTATTATTACCTCACTGTCAAATTGTGGCTAGGTTCAAGTTATTTTGTTGTTTAGTCGTTTAGTCGTGTCCGACTCTTCGTGACCCCATGGACCAGAGCACGCCAGGCACCTCTGTCCTCCACTACCTCCCGCAGTTTGGTCAAACTCATGCTGGTAACCTCAAAAACGCTATCCAACCATCTCGTCCTCTGTCGCCCCCTTCTCCTTGTGCCCTCCATCTTTCCCAGCATCAGTGTCTTCTCCAGGGAGTCTTCTCTTCTCATGAGTTCAAGTTATTAGTGTTTCATAAAATTTCTCTTTGCATTAAGAGAAGAGCCTTCTGGGTCAAGCCTAGCTAGTCCAGCCTGCTGTTCTCAGTGGCCAGCCCGAAAGCAGAACCTAAGTGAAGCAGCACTCTGCCCCCTTGTGACTCTCAGAAACTGGAATTAAGAAACATATTGTCTCAGACAGAAGAGGCAGATTAGAGGCATCGTGGCTAGGGTTACGCTGCCTGAAGTGTGGGTTATTAATATTTTAACATAAATAAATAGTCTGCCATCCCTTGTATGAGATTCCAGAAGTGGCATTTTCAATTGTGCTTCACAGGTGTTTCTTACCAGATGATCCCTCCCCAGAGAAGGGAAAAGACAATGTAGAAAAGCAGTGATCCCCAGATCACAAAGTGATTGATCCAAGTCCAGTAGTGTGTATCCAGTGCAAGCTGTAAAAAGGTATATATATATATTTAGATCACCACTTGAGGATAGATGGCAATATGAATATGTGAGTATTCAGTTTCACACATACATTTAACATGTTGGACTCGACATGACATGTACCTCCTATAACTTTTAAACTAACAAAACCAATGTGATGGGCAACCACTGAAAATTAACTCTTAAACAAGTCAACAAAGCTGACAATCTCCTTTATTTGCTAAGAACAGACTTCCTTTCACGGCGTTCTACATAAGGCTCTCCAGGGTTTCAGGCAGAGACATTCTTAGGCCCTACCTGGATATTCCAGAGACCGAATCGGGGATTTTATGCAAGCGAAGCAGATGTTCTACCACTGAACTATGGCCCTTCTTTAATTCAATTATCAAGAGTCACTTACGTAAAACAATTTTGGGACCATAATCCATCCATTGAGATAACCATCGATCAGTTTTTTCCAAAGCAAAATGTGCCAGAATTAAGTTTTCCTGGAAACTACACAATAATGCTTTGGCCAGATAGTTCTACTCTTTAATTATATATGCATAGAAGCTGGTAAGAACAGATGCTAAGAGGTGTTTTTGTTTTCACATGTAGTTTGTATGAATGAAAAAGCAGGCCATAGGCTGAACCTTGCCTCAAATCAAGCCCTGGTAGAAATACACATTGACTGTTTCTTGTGCAATAAGTAACAAGTCCCAAGGGGCAGTATTGCTGGTTCTTTATTCAACAGTAACTAAAAGTGCACCACAAGCTATTCAAGCAGATGGTTAAGGCAGGTGGCTGCTTTTATCGAGATTCTCTGTGGAGAGAAGGTATTTCTGAGAAACAGGGACAGGGGAACATAAGAAGAGCACTGCTAGATCAGTCCAAATGTCTAATCCAGAATTCTGCTTTCTGCAGTGACCCAGCCAAACGCAAACAGAAAGCTCTCTCCTTCTGTTTAGGGCTTTGAAGTACAGGGGAGATACACAAAATCTGGTCCACACCTGTCAATAGGTGGGGTACCACATTCTGCACTAGCTACTGTAAAGGTTCCAAACCATCCTTATACAAGGGAATAGGACAGAACAGACACATCTCCAGCCCATAAGTCCACCAAGTTCCTTAGTATCATTAATTGCATGGTGTCACACTCTGCCTGATAGAGAAGGCACAAAGTCTGGGAGGGCTCCCAGACCCAGCTCAGTCACTGGAGATGCAGTGGACTTCAATGGCTAGGAAAGCTTTCTACCAGCTTCAGCTGGAAAACAATAGCAGCTGTTCCTGGATCAGGGTGGCTTCACAACAGTTTCCCACGTATTGGTAACTTCAAGCTTGGATTTCTGCAACGCACACTTTGTGGGGCTACCTTTGGGGTTGGTCTAGAGTCTGCAGCTAGTACAGAACATGGTGACTAGAACGCTTGTGAGGGGAAAACTACTGCCAATCTGCTACCAGGCCAAGATTAAAGTTTTGGTGCTAACATACCAGGCCCCATACAGCCCTGGAGCAGATTACTTGAGAGTCCACCTTATCCCTTATTTACTCACTATGTCAGTGTATTCAGCAGGAGAGGGTTTTTTCCCCCCAAGTCTCTAAAATATCAGAAGCCTGCTCCACAGTAGTGCAGAGCAGGGCTTTCTCTGTGGCTGCCCCTATGGAACAGCATTTCTCTCACAGCATGACAAGCAACCACCACTTGTACTCTCTGAAAACAACTGAAAACATTTTTGTTTTGATGGGCTTTTCCCATTCATTCACCCATATTTGTTTTTGTCCTGAATTGACTGCCAATATATTTCACTGGATATTTTCAAATTCCGCTATTATAAGAGAAGGAAGGGGAAAGAACCTCTCTCTATTCAGTTTTCCATATAATCCATAAGCTTATAAACCTCTGTCTTTTTTTCTGAATAAATTATTATTATTATTATTATTATTATTATTATTATTATTAATACCCCGCCCATCTGGTTGGGTTTCCCCAGCCACTCTGGGCGGCTTCCAACAAAATAATAGAATACAATAGTCTGTTAAACATTAAAAGCTTCCCTAAACAGGGCTGCCTTCAGATGTCTTCTAAAAGTCTGGTAGTTGTTTTTCTCTTGGACATCTGGTGGGAGGGCATTCCACAGGGCGGGTGCCACTACCAAGAAGGCCCTCTGCCTGGTTCCCTGTAACCTGGCTTCTCACAGCGAGGGAACCGCCAGAAGGCCCTCGGCGCTGAACCTCAGTGTCTGGGCAGAACAATGGGGATGGACACGCTGCTTCAGGTATACTGGGCCGAGGCAGTTTAGGAATGAGGAAGTCCAAAACCTTTTAGCCTTCCTCCATATTGGAACGTGCTTCAGGAAGCGGTGCCAGTTTGGTTTCAACACACATGTAGGAGATCATACCTTCAAGGTAACAGTGAATACCAGCACAGTGAATACCAGTGTCCCAAAGGTCCAGTTTCCAAACATCTATGAGGAAAACATTCACAAGAAAAAGAAGTTTCAGGTTATACAGTCTAGTATAGCGAGTTTCGTTTAGTATTGTGCAATGCACGAAAAATGTGGAAGTGTACACATTTAAAACTTTCCGGGAATTAACGCAATTATTCAAGGGGAGATTTTCAGGGAGCCACAATGGCCTTATCTATGCACAAGACAGAGGGAGTCATAGAAACTCTGAGGTTTGTAGACATAAAAAATGGGGAGGGGGGCAGAAATCCTAACTTTGGGTGGAGGGGATGATGGGTACTGAGTATACTTAGTGGACACAGAATGCTGATTGACTGTGGGGAGGGGGCAGAAAACCACATGGAAGAGGAATGGAAGGGGAAACCTGAAGAGGAACACTCCACACTGCAACCTGTATGCCAGAGGTCCCATTTTTGTTCAAATAGCAAGAAACATAAGCATAGTGAATGTGCCACTAATATATTCTCCCTTGCACCTTCATCACCTTCAGAATACTCTTACCATTTGCTCTCCACTAGATCTCTTGCTGAAAGCATCTTAAAAACTACAAACTTTTTTAAAAAAAATGAGATGAAGAGAACAATCATTCTGCTATAACAATAAAGGGGAGCAATGGACATTTTTATTGTATAGTCATGATGTGCTTGTCTCATGAGGTTCTCTTTTATTATCTGGGTTGTATGGATAAAAGTCAATAAAAAATAATTTAAACAAATAAAAAGTGGGGGAAAGTTTAGACTGCAATCTTATACACCTGTGGCTAAGCCTTTTCATACAATTTCATGGGCCGCCAATTCCAACACAACCTCTTTTGTTCAACCACAGAGTTGGATCCAGAAACCACAAGTGGAATTACACTCATGTAAGAGCTCCCTCTACTCTACCTGAGGGCCACAGGTCTCTCTAGGATGTAGTATGGGGGTCAAAGTGAGAAGGTAAAAATTGGGAGTAATTGGGCATCTTTTTCACATTTGATCTTCCACAACCTTGCCTTTTCCAGAAAATTTTCATAGTACTATTAGCATAAAAAAGTGGAAAGAATTAGAAACTGAAATTAGAAACGGACAAGGGTGCAGGATGAAATCTCAGGAAATTTGTGTTTACTGAATAAGCCAAAGCATTGTGCTAAGCAAAAGGCAATCATTTAAGTTCAGTTACTTCTAGTTTTCATGGTGTTATCAAGAGGTTGGTGGCTGATAATGACAAGTGTCAACATTTTAATGGTGAATATAAGCCACAAAATCATGCCTTATTATTCAAAATCCTATCTTCATAACAAGCTAAGGCTCACAAAGCTGGTGTTTTGTGTAATGAATAAAAATAAAATTAGTCTAATTTCTATATTAGAGGAAACTAAATTTACATATAACACAGATCTCACAAGGTAAAAGTGTTATAATAAAAACAAACAAAAATGCAGTATTTATCATTGCGTAGGTATTTTAATGCTAGGGACAAGAAAAATGCTATTTTGTGGCTGTACATCCTTCTTGACTATAAAACTATGAGACATTCCGGTTTTGTAAAAAGCCGTGAAAACAAGACTAACAAAATCAGACTCCATCACACAAGCTGATCTTCCCTTCCCACTTTTACAGAGAACAACTATGGAAGTGAGAGCTGGATCATAAAGAAGGCTGATCGCCGAAGAATCGATGCTTTTGAATTATGGTGCTGGAGGAGACTCTTGAGAGTCCCATGGACTGCAAGAAGATCAAACCTATCCATTCTGAAGGAAATCAGCCCTGAGTGCTCACTGGAAGGACAGATCCTGAAGCTGAGGCTCCAATACTTTGGCCACCTCATGATAAGAGAAGACTCCCTGGAAAAGACCCTGATGTTGGGAAAGATTGAGGGCACAAGGAGAAGCGGACGACAGAGGATGAGATGGTTGGACAGTGTTCAGGGACGCGGACTTATAAAAAATATTGGGGGGGCCCGGGAAAGCTCATGAATAATAAATAAGCTCATGAATATGCAAATAAAGTGGCTCCGGCCCTAAATAGGGCAAGCCACGCCCCCCCAGCCAGCCGATTGGCTGGCTGGGAGGTGTGGCCAGTCGGGATTCCCCTGTTCTCGCGGGGGCTGAAACCGCCAGGAGGAAGGAAATTCCCCCGGCAGTGCCTTGGCAGTGGCGGTGGTGCTGCGAAGCAGCGAGGCAGGAGCCCCCGCCCCCGGCGCCCGAGATTATTGGGGGGGCTGAGCCCCCCAAAAAATTTTTTGAGGGGGCTCGAGCCCCCTCAAGCCCCATGGAGTCGGCGCCTATGACAGTGTTCTTGAAGCTACCAGCATGAGTTTGACCAAACTGCTGGAGGCAGTGGAAGACAGGAGTGCCTGGCGTGCTCTGGTCCATGGGGTCACAAAGAGTCGGACATGACTAATCAACTAAACAACAACAACTATCTTATCAAGATAACTTGATGCCTGCTACAGAACATTCTAGGACAACTAGGCCATGGTGTAGCCCTGATGCTAACTTCAAAAAATAACGCAAAAAAGTGGCAACTAGATTTGTAACACAGGGACAATCATACAGTCCAGCCTTAAAGGGTTGCTGTAACATATAGAAAGAGCTTTGAAAACTTGAGATGTGCTAATGTACTGTGCCGTGTTTTCTTTTCTTTACTTTAAAAAAAACACCCAGTAACAATAACAGTGCATTATTATCAGTAGGACCTACTTGTAATATCCTGAAGTGCATAGCCATAGCCAAACACAATTATATCCAAGGTATCTCCTGACTACCCTGTCCTCCCTTTGATTGAGAAAAAACCTGAGCACTTTAGCTGGCTACATGGAAGACACACAGGTAAAGAGAAATGCCACCAGATTGTGCCATTCCACTTGTTAAACCCAGAATATCCAAGCTGGAAGAACAGGAAATCAGTAAGAATACATATTTGCTTGGGTAGAACCAAGATAGGGAGAGTCTTTTTATAGTCTGTAACAATATTTTTGATGGCTGAAAGTTCTACACATTTGGGATAAATTATTCCACAACAGACATTCGCCAGCTAGTTGCCATTTACTCCATTTAGGAAAATGAATTATATGTAATTGATATTGATTGACATGGAAATTAACCGACTGCCTAGAAGTTGAAGCTTATTACTTCTTTCCATGACCTTCACTGTTGGAAAAAAAGAAGTCATATTATTATGTGCTGATGGAAGAAGTATAAAGATGATCCTGAATCTTGTAGACAAAATGTTCAGTTATTTAATTAACCATTGTAAATTGTTCCATCACATTATATGTTGGAAAAGTGATTCCCCAGATGTTATACGGAGTAGAACTCTGGGGATGGAATCAGAAGCTGTTAGAACGGCTTGAAATCTTCCAAAATTTTTATCTCAGAAGAATTCTAGGCCTCCCTCAGAGTACTCCGGCAGCTCTCCTAAGAGTGGAAGTAGGATTACCTTCTGTGTCTGCCAGGGCCCACTTAAGATTCCTGCGTTTTTTCACCAACCTCATAGATGCCCCGAACACCTTATTGGCTAAACAAGCCTTTGTATCATTACAAAATAATACCACTTGGCATAAAAACCTACTAGACATTCTATCCAGATACAACCTACCTGAGTTTAATACTCTCAAATTGTGGAGCCCTGATAAAGTTCGGGAATGGATCTTTGAAAAAGACGTCTTTTTGGACTCCACTAAGATAAAAAACTCTGGGTTCTCCTACTGGTTCCCCCGAGTAAAAGCAGTCAAAATCTGTGCCAACTACTTGGTGGAGATCACTGATCCCACCCTTCGGAGAGCTTTCACTATGGCACAGTTTCAAACATTGCCAACTGCTTATCTGACCGGTAGATACACAAAAACCCCAGTAGAACATCGTTTATGTCCTTGCGTTATGAAAATTAAAGAGGATCTTACACATTACCTCCTCTATTGCCCCATTTACTCGGGCTTTAGAGACGCATTGCTGCAAATTATACCCAACTCTATAACCAGTCCTGAAGATAGAGTAAAATTTTTGTTAGTTGATGCAAACCCACGCATTACCCATGTGGTAGTGGTTTTTGTGATGAAGGCCATGAAAGCCAGGGAAAGATTTATGGACGACAATGTAAAGACCCCTTCATCGTCTGTTTAACTCGTTGCTCGTTTTCCCTCCTTTTCTATTTTGTGGGAAGAAGGTTTTGTTGGCATAGTATGTAATGAATTTTAATATTTTTAACTATTGTAGTGTTGATGTTTGTGCACAGGCATGGTCCTCACAATAAATGGATTTTGATTTGATTATATGTATTATTATTTATAAGTTAGGGCTCCAAACTGTTGTCAGTTAATATAATACTATCCATTATAACTGTAAACAAAGATTAAAATTTGACTTTCTAGTTAACATATTTAGTTACTTGGAAAAACTTGAAAAAACAACAACTTAAAGATAACAATTCCTTTGTTATTTGCCTTTTATTGCTTTTATTATAATATTAGGAACCACAGCCACCTGAAACTATCAGCGGTCAGCTGAAAACTCCTTTAGGCTTTGAAATGTAAGAATACTGATGAGTCTTGAATTTATTACTAACCCCACTCCTTTCGTAGTCTAGGTGTGCTACTATGAGAAAATATTCTGTATTCCTACGTTTCCTAAAGAGAAGCATATTAGCTGATAAACCTTTTATAATTATTTAAAGAGGTAAGCATCTGTAAAGAGTATGCAAACATCTTCAAGTCTTGAACTGCTTTTTCCTGCATCACCACAAACAAACTAAGCTCCCCTGTGGTTGCCAATTATTTATAATCTAGCATGACCTTGCCTCAGAGAGCTTGTAGCATGAGGATGACTCTGCAGCTGTAACAATCTGTGCCCATGACAATTACAGCAAGAAAAAAATATATGCAATGAAGAATATATTCTGCAATGACTATGTAGCAAACCAAGGTTATGTCTTTGGCCTCCCTGCCTTTACATTCAGGTAAACAAGAGCAGAGAGTTATTTCAGGTGCATATGGAAGTCAGCCCATCTCACAAGGAAGCTAAGAGGAGATGGGGCAACCTGGAAAAAAGAAGGATAAGAGGAGACATTGCCATCCCGACCTGGAGATTCCAAGGGTTGGACTTTCTTTGCAGCGTGTAGATACTCTATCACTGTGCTGTAGTCCTTTCCCAACCAATAGTAGCCTGTTTTCAAGCCTAATTGCAGTACAAGGAGCTGTGCTTTGTAGGGCGTGGGGCTGCAGCACATGGAGAGGGGATTCCCATCACCCAAAATCTGCATGGGACATCTCATGGGCCAGAATTGGTCCACAGACTGCCAGTTCACCACCCCTGCACTAAATCATGTCTACCCTAATTTGTACAAGTTCAAATGAGCTGGAATAAGCCTCAGATATCTGCCTTCCCATCGCCTCTCCTCTTCTCTGATATTCTTCTTGCTACCTACCTCATTCCCATGATTTATTTTCTGAAGCTGACCAGATAAACAGTACATTTGCTTGTTTATTTCTGAACACCAAACTTTTAAAAAGCCCATCCAGAAATCTATTAATATAATTTGCGTAAAATTAAATAAACATAAAGAATTAGCTGAACAGGAAGAGAAAGCAACTAGAAAAGCAGGTACACACTTATAAGAAGCAAGATATGTATATATTAAAAACCTGTAGCCTAAAGTTCTTTACTTTTAAAATGCAAATTAAAAGCTGCTTTATTATGATTTCAGCACAGGAGGAAGGGAATAAACAGAAATTTTAAACTTTGGGTTTTAAACAGAAATATCTGATCTGTACTGAAGTTGGATAGGGAAAAAAGGAAAACTCACATCATGACAAAACTACAGTAGTCTTACCATGTGGGTGTTGGCTGTCATTAGCTGAGGATAGGAAGAGAAGCAAGTAGCAAAAAAGGAAAAAAAGCAAGACACAAATAGACCACATAAATGTCAACATGCAAATAAAAAGCAGAAGGACCTTAAAATTATATCTAACGTCACTTAACAAGTACAAATAGAAATGCTTTGAATGGATGTATGTTGTTCTTTTCAAATTAACCATGGTGTTTATTACTATGATATCTGAATGCACATTTCTTAAAATGGAAGTTATGAATAAATCAAGCAATTCCAAAATATAAAATATGCATCAATGGCAAAATGAACCACATTAATAATATAATGGTTCATAAAAGAAACCTTTTCTCCTTAATGGTACTGTAACAACTTACTACAGCTTCTTGACATTCAGAATCAGATTTTACCGTTCCCTGTCAAACACCCCATAAGAACCACAAACCTTTCCTGTTTCTAAATAACCATTTTAATGGGAGCTAGGTTATGAAATACTGGATCATACTTAGTGAAAGGGGGGAAAGGCATAAGCAACACTTAAGATTATTGACACATCATTTCTTGATGTTAGCAGAGCAGCTTTAATCAAAGTAGATACTCACCTGTCCATTGCTGGTCACAGTTGAGCTGTCAAACAGGAAATAGGCACCAAAGAAAAAAACCACAGCATCAAATACTCCCAAGAATGTCCAGTAAATGAATACACGCCAGCGCAGGTGAGCATTCTTGGCAACGTCCCTGAATAACGACAAAGTTATTAATTCTGACATGCTAAAACAGAGAAATGTGAAATTGAACAATGCTGTCTTAAGTGACAGGAATGTTCTAGTGTTTAAAGGTGACTTGTCAATAATGCATCTCTCTGCATTCCTAAATGGATGTCCAATACTTAGGTGTACCATAAAGCTCTCCAATTATAATCCCAAATCCTTTTAGACGGGAAGAATCAATACTGTCATGAATGTTGACCTCATTTTAAATAATAAAACGTAACACTAGAGGTCTCCAGAAGATTTGCTTTCGTTTCAAGAGGCTGGTCTTTGTAAACTGAAATAAGCTTCATGTTGTTGGCATTTTTAAAAAACACACTACTTTTACATTTAGCATTGAACCTGAGGAAACATGCATCAGTTCCGTTACTGAGGTCATTTACTCATTAGTGATCTTGTTGTGAGGAAAGTTAGGCTGAGATATAGTGATATAGGCCCTAGATAGCCTAGTAAGCCTTGTGGCTGAACAGTCTTTTGAACCCAGGTGTTCCTGGCCCTAATCTGACACATTAACTACTAACTTACATTTTCTCTTATATATATGCTGTATAATGGTATTGCTACAATTTTTGCATACACACAAGTTGACAACTTCCATAAAAAGTCCCTTTGTAGAAATGCCTTCCCACAAGACATTTAAAGCAGATTCACACAGTAACCCCTTAATGAGGAAATGTAGGAAGGCGTTGCTATTGCGACCGTTGAACAGATGCAGGTATCGAATCCTTGCTGCCTTTCTTGGTTACCTGCGGAACACAGCTTACTATATCCAGTGGTAGTGGTGGCAGCAAATAAAAAAAATTGCTTCATGCACAAAGAAACCAAAGTGTGAATCTGCTCACATGTACAGTGGTAGCTCGGGTTAAGAACTTAATTCATTCTGGAGGTCCTTTCTTAACCTGAAACTGTTCTTAACCTGAGGTACCACTTTAGCTAATGGGGCCTCCCACTGCTGCTGCACTATTTCTGTTCTCATCCTGAAGCAAAGTTCTTAACCTGAGGTACTATTTCTGGGTTAGTGGAGTCTGTAACCTGAAGCGTCTGTAACCTGAAGTGTCTGTGATCCGAGGTACCACTGTATTAATGTTATTTTGGTGTTGGTAAAGTTTATTTTACTATTCGAGATAATTTTTCACTGAAAATGCATGGTACGTTCCCCTTGTTTCTTAAAAGACCAAAGAAAATGTTCCTGATTACAAAACACCCCACTGCAAAAGCCCTGTTCAAGGTACAGTGGTACCTCAGGTTACATACGCTTCAGGTTACATACGCTTCAGGTTACAGACTCCGCTAACCCAGAAATATTACCTCGAGTTAAGAACTTTGCTTCAGGATGAGAACAGAAATCGTGCAGTGGCGGCGCAGCGGCAGCAGGAGGCCCCATTAGCTAAAGTGGTACCTCAGGTTAAGAATAGTTTCAGGTTAAGAACGGACCTCCAGAATGAATTAAGCTCCTAACCTGAGGTACAACTGTATCTCTCAGTGGTCCTCAGGAGTCTCCCCAGCCTCTTCCCCCCACCCCCGCTGCCCCACAGCTTCTTTTGCCTGACTGATAATGCAGTCTTTGGAATGCAAAAGGTTCCCCATCCCTGACCTACTTCAGCATCTCATTGTTTCCCCATGCCCTGAAGAGGGAAGTTGAGGAGCGTGGCACTAACTGGTCACCACTGTCTATTCAAAGAATGTTACGAACTCTAACCTGTACAGTGTAGGGTCTCTCTTGAGTGTATCTGAACTGACATGTTGCTCCATGAGACTATACAGCAGGATAGGAAGTGAAGTGAAGCTGATATTGTACAGGGTAAGATACGCAGTATCATATAAAGGCTGCAGATGGGGAAAAAACAGATTATATTAACCGGCTACAATTTAATTTTATGGTACTGTAATAGCGAAGATTTAAAGTAGGTAAATAAGCAAGTAACCCTATTTAATGCCATGTCCACTGTCCTGTATGTATTTCCCAGCTATCCAAATTCACTGTGACTGCACACTCCTCTATTCACGTAACGCTGGGTTTCCTAAATTTTGGTGTTCAGCTGTTTCTGGAATATTTACTGCTTACTTTGCCAAACCTTTATTAGGCATTACAAATATAAAGGTAAAGGGACCCCTGATCATTAGGTCCAGTCGTGGCTGACTCTGGGGTTGCGGCGCTCATCTCGCTTTATTGGCCAAGGGAGCCAGCGTACAGCTTCCGGGTCATGTGGCCAGCATGACTAAGCCGCTTCTGGCGAACCAGAGCAGTGCATGGAAACGCCGTTTACCTTCCCGCCGGAGCGGTACCTATTTATCTACTTGCACTTTGACGTGCTTTCTGAAATAGGCCATCCTAAAACATCCATATGTAAAATGTTAAAATATATACAAATAAATATGTACTAATGGGATACAACTCCTATCATTCCTAGCTAGCCGGACCAGTGGCCAGGGATGATGGGAATTGCAGTCAGAAATAGCTGGAGACCAGTGCTGTCAGGGGCGGAGGAAGGGGGTGAGGTGGATGCGGGTCGGCCTGGGTGTCACCACTGAGGGGAAAGTCAAACATCACACGATGAGTCATTATGGGTCACTGTCTCTCATCTAAGGTAAATAAAAGAGCACAAGAGATAGCGGTCAGCTGGTTGAAATAAGACCTGTCCTCTCAGGTGCTCTTTAAGCTAACACTGCTTATAACCTTACTCACAAGGGCAATGAATTTTAAAGATTTTAGGGTCATGCCACTTACTCACAGCTGTGTGTGTTTTTTTTATACTGAATTGTAAGCATGCTTCAGGGAGCAAATCTCATTATCTGTGCTTCTAATAAACCAGAAAATGCTACAATGTGAATAGCTGGCTTTTTCATTCAACACCATGCAAAACAAGATAAATTGATCAAGATACATTTAAAATTATACTGGACCAATAAATAACATGTTTCAAAATATTAACTTGGTTTAATGATAAAGGGGGGAAAGTTTTCTGAGATACCTGCTGTGAAAACCCACAGAAGAACTGGTATAAAAACTGAGGAAAAATGAAACAGACATTCTGGAAGACAAAAGCAAGATACGTTGCATGACATTATCGTAGTATAAAAATGAACTGGCAGCTACACAAATTCAAACACATATTTAAGTTCAACTGAACACAGAATTTAACTTTTGAAAAAACAAAACTCGATAAAAGGGCAACTCCTTCAGTACTACATTGATTATGGCAGTGTAGAAAAGCTGTTTTTAAAGAGTGGCAAGCAATTAAAATATATTGATGCTTTGATTTTTGTTTGTGCATTCTTGCCCACACCCTGGAAATGGAGATAAGAGCAAAAAATTTCTAGGGAAATACATGTCTAAAGGTAACGTCTGGGGAACATAAAGTACAGTCTGCAAAAGGAAGGTGAGGAGGACTTGGACAACAGTCGCAGAAATGGCTGTTGGTGATATGGAAGCAAGCACAAAAAAGAAGGCAAACAATGCAGCCCTCAGGAAGAGGAGGCAGAAGCAGTACTGAATGGTTGAAGAAACGAACTGCAGTCACCCAGAGCTCATCCAGACTTCCCCTTGCCCTGCCATATCTTTACCACTGAATCACAGCAAATTTATAAATCGGGTTTCTCCAGAAATACGTTTGCTCCGATTTATCCCTATAAAGAGCAGGTTTTCCGGAGGAAAGTGGCAGGGCAAAGGGAAAACTGCTCAGAACCATGCTTTCTAGGCTGAGCCCTGAGATTACTTCAGGTCCAAGAAGTGACGCTGCAATGCCATGAATTCCTGAAATGCTGTGTAGCTGTCTCTCTACACTTGTACATATTAATGACACAATGGAGGAAACGTGGAGACACCGATACACAAATAAACAGGCTCGGAACCAGGAACACATACACATACTGCTACTCCCCACTCTTTTTTTTCCTGTGTAGTAGACTATAAGCTTCAGACTAAGAGATTTCAATAGTTTATAAGTTTTATTGCTACATTTGAGTTTACTCATCAGATTATTTACAGATGATTGTTGCGCTAAGCCTTGATGTTATGAGAGCAGTGCATTGCTGCAGAGTTTAGGCTAGTTCAAATGGTTATTCAACACTGTGCTAGAAGTGGAACGTAAACCTGTTCCCACGGCAGAAATAAATCCTTCACATTGGTCCACATTTATATGTCTTTGCAATACTTATTATGCCCTATGGTGTGTTGATGCTGAATATCCTTGGTGAATTTGGCTGTCTTATTTTACCAGTGAATTGGTGCATCGATTAGTATGTCAAAGCGACAAAAAGGTGAAATAAACAGGATTTGAGCTACTCCCCAAAGGAAACAAAATACATATGCCTAATGTGCTGATCTGTTGTTATAAAACACCTGAGGTTGGCATTTTAGATTTACAACACAAGAGACTCTGTTGTTGTAAGCATACACTGACGAAAGTTATCACTAATATGATCCAGCTATCAGTGTAAACATAAAAACAAATCCATCATTCTTCCATTCAGCTTGGTCAACTGAAATTAGAAGCTGATTCATGTTTGCAGCCATCAAACCACTTGCTCTTTTAATTACTACATTACTGGACATTCTGGAAGTAAGTGGTTTTAGGAAAACAGGTTTTCCCCATATCTAGGAAGCAGAGGAGGAGGAATCTAAAGTTAAACTGGAAGAACGGAGGTCTGGAAGGACGATGGTCACACAGTGGAATCCAAGACAACAAGTTTCAAAATAATCTGCCTCTGTCTAAACTGTTAACAACCATAATACAAAAGCCCCAATATACCTTATAAAAGAAGTATTGCACAAGTTCAGATATCCTGACATAATAAAAATGCCCATGAACAAGCAACATTTTTTTCAAATGTTTAAATTTGGGTATTGCATAGTCGCTGTTTCTTGCAGCTTGGCGGCCTTCTTTCCCAATAAGGCCTGGAAGGAAAACAAAATGGTAGAAAGTGAAACGATGCAGTGAAACTGAACTGGTGATACTTATCATTAGATTTCGTTTGAACTGGGAAACTATGGTTAGCAGGTTCAGAACAAGCCAGTATCTTCTCTCTCCATCATCATAAACTGAGGAAGAATCATTTGCTCCTAATGTTTAGGAAGTTTCTGCTGCTCACAAAGTATCTTCCACCCAAGAGTGAAAAGGAGACTTAGCTACTGATGGGAAAAAGATGTACTCCTCCACAATAGATTGAAGGAAACAATGGCAATGATACAAAGTACTAGGAACAACCAGTGACTCAATATTACATTATGATAAGGATGACTTTAAACTTGACCATAACAATCCACTTACCAATGCCAACGTGTGCTTCTAGGATCATACTGACATCATTTGCTCCATCACCAATTGCTAACGTGATTGGATGCTCCTTTGACCATTTAATTAATTTTACAATCTGGAAGGGAAAAAAGGTGCAAATGTTACATACATGTTTCTAAACTGCACCATTATGCTCAATGTTCCACTTGCTAGATATTTCGGCGGTGGTGGAAACTGAACCAAGTAAGAAGAAAGGACATTTACTTCACAGAATCTTCTATCTTCCAGGCAGTAGTGAAACAGACAGGCCGGCATTTGGGCCTGTTCACGTATTACTTTCTAAGGAAACTCAGAATTCCCCTTCCTTTACCATGGAGAGAAAATAACAACCAAAGATATAACTGTATGATGTTGATTTGAACAGATTATCTCCACAGCTACTTGGCAGAAAATCTCTATTCTTTCTGATAAAAGATTAGGCAGTCAGGGAAATATTTCATTCGGCAACATAACCCAGTTCACTTAATACTTCTTTTCCACAGCAAGAGGAAGAGGCAGATTTCGCTTTTCTACAGGAAAGTAATGGCTGAACAGGCCCCAAGATGGGCTTAGTTGTTGTTTTCTTTCTGTCATCCTTATATCTTTATCCAGTGTTATTCCAATTATCTTTTGATAAAAGCCTAATCAAAAGAATTTCCAACACACACCTATTCTTATTTCCTAAACACAAAAACACAAGGAAATAGAAATAACAGCTTTCCATGTGAGGTTAATGTGTAGCTTCACAATGTAGCATCAGCTGAAAATACAGCACTTTTCCTTAGTTAAATGAGCTCTTTTCCAAGTAGCATGTCAATCCCTGAAATCTGCTTGAAACATACATAAATCAGTGGCACAGCAGGGTGCCATTTTAATGTACCATTAACTAATTGCTTTCTTTCAGAAATTCTTTCACTCATTTCTCCTTGTTTTTCCCCATTTTTTGCTTCCATTATCAATCACTGGAAGGTGGGTATTTAAACACAACACATTACACGGAGACTTTCAATATTTATATAAATATACATTTGTCATGTAATTGAAGACGCGAAACACAAACCTGTGCTTTTTGCAAAGGAGCCATGCGACAGCATAGAACCGCGCTGCAGTTCCTACAGATTTCAAGGAAGATCTCTCTGTAGTTACCAGAGCTCCCATCTTCCCGTGGTTTCATTATTAATGATAATGCTGCTCCATCAATAATTAAACCATAATCTTGCATTTCAGCTGAAAGCCTATTGAGTGACAAAAATACACAAATTAATGCTGGTTTTGCAGTTTAACCAACCGTGTTTTATACAGCAGCTGCTTCAAAAGACATGCTGAAATGCAGCACACTCAGGGTATTTTGGGTTGCATGTAACACAGGGCTAAGGCTACGGTTCCTTCAGCTCAAGGATTTATCAGTGTGCAATGGAACATTCTTCCTCTTTTCTTCCCCCTTGTGCATCCTAATTCTCTTCTCTCTGTTAGCCCAACCCTCCAGAGAAGATTTGGGGACAGAGAGGGGAGGCATGCAGGGGGAGGAGAGGGGAGAAAGTCCCATTCCTTGCGCTGACAAGATAATTTGGTTGAATACCGTCTTTTAGATTTCTTGCCATTTGAATTAACTAACTTGATACAGCAATCTTGTTTTTGCCTCCAATTACCACTGTGGAGAGTAGAAACCCCACCACTAGGTTTTTGTTCCCTCTACGCACTAGGATGCTCTCACAAGAAATCTATTCCCTCAATTTCCAATTTTGTTGCACAGGATAAAAGGTAAAGGTAAAGGGACCCCTGACCATTAGGTCCAGTCGTGGCCAACTCTGGGGTTGCTCATCTCGCTTTATTGGCTGAGGGAGCCGGCATACATCTTCTGCGTCATGTGGCCACCATGACTAAGCCGCTTCTGGCAAACCAGAGCAGCGCATGGAAACGCCTTTAACCTTCCCGCTGGAGCGGTACCTATTTATCTACTTGCACTTTGATGTGCTTTCGAACTGCTAGGTTGGCAGGAGCAGGGACTGAGCAACGGGAGCTCACCCCGTCGCGGGGATTCGAACCACCGACCTTCTGATCGGAAAGTCCTAGGCTCTGTGGTTTAACCCACAGCGGCACCCGCATCCCATAGCGCCACCCGCGTCCAGGATAAAGTCAAGCTATTTTTACATTTTGTGGGGTAATCTGCCGCCTCTCTCTGTATGAACCTACCCAGACCTTAAGATCATCCTCTGGGGCCTTTTTTTGTGTGCGTCCTCCATGTGAGGACCGGAGGGTGGCAACATGAGGGCCTTTTCTGCAGTGGTTCCCCATTTGAGGACTGCTCTCCCCCAGGGAGGTTTGGCTGGCAACTTCATTATACACCTTTAGGTGCCAGGCAAAAACATTCTTCAACCAGGCCTGTGGCTGGCTGACATCCAATGCCATTTTAAAATGTATTTGGGGGTGGAGGAGGTAAGGACTCCAATGGGACCAAGATGAGCACTAGAGTTAGCTGTGACCCAGTGGCCAGGATTTCTGATCTTCTAGCCGACAACATTGATCATGTTTTGCTCCATTTCTGTTAGCAGTTGATCTTTCAGAATGGCAGCACCGATGTTCTGGAAATCCCTGCCTATTAACATTAGGAAGGTCCCTACATTATAGATAAGATAGATAGATAGATAGATAGATAGATAGATAGATGATAGATGCCTTCGAAAAGCCTATGCATTTATATAATTTAGAATTGGCTTTTTAATTTTGTTGATTTCATCTGTGTATTTATCACACACGATAATGATTAGGTAGCTAATGATTGTGTACCTATACATACTGTATTTTTCCATGTATAAGACTAGGTTTCCCCCCTAAAAAATAACGTCCAAAATTTGGGGGCATCTTATACATTGGGGCCATCTCTCTCCATTTTTTAAAATCAGAGTCGCCCCCCCCCCATGAGGGCATCTATATATGTTTTTTAAAAAGCTGTTTCCGATTCTGCCACTGAACCAATGCGAAAAAAAAGGATGCAAATTTTGATTTTGTTTGAATTTGTGCTTTATACATACCCTGAGAAGGTGTCCCTTGTTAAGCTGCCGTTGTGCCTTAGGACAGTCTTGCTTAAATCAAACAACACATCGTGCAAGCTCTGCTCCTCTATTTTCTTGGTAGTTAACTCAAGTATTTGAGTATTTCTTCTGAATAGTTTGCAGGCGTAGCAGGCAGCTGCGGCAGTCTCCATTTTGTCTCCCGTCAGAACCCAAACCTTAATGCCAGCTTTTTGCAGGGATTCGATTGTATCAGCAGCTTTTTCCTGTAATCTTCGAGATACCAATCACAAATAGTTATTGACAAACTTTAAATTAAAAATTTAGGCCACTTACTAAAAGGTTTCTATCATATCGGAAAACATGGCAGTAAAAAGGAGTTTGGACTTAAGAAGCCTTTGCTGTCATGCAATATTTTATTTATTTATTTACTCAATAGTTTTCTCTCCATTGATTTAAAGGGTTCAGATGTTGCAGTCCAGAAGAGCTATAGTGTATTTTAGTGCCCTTCACCTGTCTGTTTTAAAGCACATACTGTATAATCATGCTTCACAGCAATTTACGCCATAAACTGGCAAGATGCAGCAAGTCTTTCAATTGCTCACAACTCAGTCTCATTTTGTGCAGTTTGAAAATGAATTAATTTTTTTGTTAGAACTTTAATATCTTTTAGGATTCAAACCAACAGATACTAACACTGTCTATGTCATACTGGCTTTAATTTGGTCTCCGTAGTAACTTAACAAAAACAGAAAAACTTGTTTTTCATCTGCTTTGCCAGTAAAATAATTAAAAATATACAAAGCTTAGGTAGGCAAATAATAAAAATTGGATGTCTTGAAAAGTATTTGTGGGCATTCCCTGAACCCCACACATGAACATAAATAATTTTTTATTCTGCACTTCAAGCTGCACTGATAGCAAGGTAATTGGTAGGAAAGAAGCCATTTCTTGTTGCAGTTTTCAGCTAATCAGCATATTCCCGGGTTCAAACCTGGTGGCTCCAGAAATATAAAAATTAGGACCAGTCTAAGAAAGGGGGAGTGAGGAAGAGAGATGGAAAGCAAGCTAAATCTATACATTTCAGGTTGAACAATATGTTTCTATTCCCATTAGGCTGAGTTTAGCTGAGTACAGCTAAACTCAGCCATTAGGCAAAAGAGGCCTGAAACAATGAAAAGGAACTTCGTACTAAGTAAGGGCTGATCCACAAAACAAAACCTGAGCAAACACAACAACTGCACTTGTTCGTAATCATCCTTTTGTAGCCTTCTCTCTCCTTTCCCATTCAAATTTAGACTGCAAGCTTTTCAGGTCAGGGACCTGTTAAGTTGTGGGTGAACATATCAGACGACACAGCGATTCTTCAAACAGCTCTTGTTTATTCACAGGCCAGAACAGAACTGAACTGAAGGGTTCAGCCAGCCTGCTTATATAGAGCTCCACTAGAACGCAACAGTAACCATTTTCTGTAACTATCCAATCACTGAACGTCACTTTCAATCCCTTATTTGCATATGTGGACCTGAGTGAAAACTATCTACAGTATCCCCCTGCTGGCCCAGGGTGAGAACTTCAGTACATAACAGGACCTTTACTGCTTACAGAGCTCTGTAAATCACAATCTGTATGGAGACCGCTCAGTAATGCTGACGGCAGTGGCTGCAACCATGAAGAAGCAGACAGAGGAGTGATATCAATAACGACTCTCCCTTGCTCCTACAATTACTAATCATGGACTTGACTTCCTGTCTTTACCCCATGCAGCAGGCAGCAGTAGTGATACGTGGTCACAGTTTGACTCAGAAACTGAGTGCACATGACAAGTATTCTTAGGAAGCTCAACCAAAGTTTGTGTGGCCGCAGGAGAGCAATGGAAACAGACTTTAATGACCCCCCATTTCCAGGGAAGGTTAAATGCCAGAGAGACAGTGGGGCTACCTATTATCCATGCATCCTTGTTTCTTTTACAGTATGCAATAACATCTGAGCCCTGGTGTTTTATTGAGGCAAATACACATGGTGAAAGTGGGAACATTTTGATGCAATGTACGAGTGGGAAGTCTTGCCCAGTTTGCATGGGATAGTCTTTGATATTCCTGCTCTCATTTTTATTGAGTTGGGAGTAGGCTGTTATTTTTAATGACTGGGACCAGAAAACTTGCTGTCAGGGAAAAGGCGGGGTATTAAATAAATATGCATATATTATAATTATAGTTATAATTATAATTATAACAATGTTTAGAGATTCTTTTATCCCAGTGCAATGCATTCTGAGGTTTTTGTCATTTCACAGTACGATTAGTTTCTGTTGTGGAAACAGTTTGTAGTGCTGCTAATTACTGTGTGGCCACATTGTAAACTACTAATTGTTATAATACTGCTTCTAAATGCTTCTACAAGACAGTAATTGAGTCAGATGTGCTAAGAAGAGATTAATGGGTCTGGCAGGGCAGTGGGGTGGGGGGTGGGGCAGAAAGGATGCTTCCCCATTCAGAGAGGGGGAGAAAGGACACTTGCAAAAATCTGTTAAGAAGGATTAGACAAGTACAGGGTTTCTTTTCTTTCAGCTCTGTACCACCCCTTCCATTCCAAATTCTGGTTTGTTAACTAGTTTTAAATCTATTTTAGGAAACGTTTACATTATTGTGTATTGTCTGCATGTCGGTTTGACCGCTGTTGTGGTAGAAACACAGCACATAAATCTAAACAAAGAAAAAATAAATAAATTGGGCTCTCTACAGACAACTGTGTCTCACTGAGACACGTATGAGCCTTTTGCCCTTGCATGCAGCTCTCATTCCCTTGATAAGGAAGTCAGGATCGTTCACATCAGAAAACTGTGGTTAACAGGTTCTGAGGAAACCAGGACCTTAAACCAGTTTTCAAACTACAGTGGTGCCTCGCAAGACGAAATTAATTCGTTCCGCAAGTCTCTTCGGCTTGCGTTTTTTTCGTCTTGCGATGCACGGTTTCCCATAGGAATGCATTGAAAATCAATTAATGCGTTCCTAGGGAAACCGCCTTCAGACCAGGTCCGGGGACAGACTGTCCCCGGACCTCTTCTGAAGGCTGGGGGGGGGGGAACAAGTGCTTTTCTTCCCACCCCCAGCATTTTAAAAAACCCTGGGACAGCGGAGGACTTCTCCGCTGTCCGGGCGATCTTAAAATGCTGGCGGGCGGCATTTTAAAATCGCCCCGGGACAGCGGAGGACTTCTCCGCTGTCCGGGGCGATTTAAAAGCCCCTGGGAAGGCAGGCAGGGGGGACAAAGACTTTCGCCCCCCCCGCCTTCAGAAGGTGTTCCCGCCCCCTGGCTTCGCAGCAGCGCTACGAAGCCCGGCGGCTGGGGCAGGTGTTCCCGCCCCCCAACCGCTTTCGCAGCAGCGCTAGCCGGCGGCTGGAGGCAGGTGCCCCCCCCACCCCGCTTCGGAGCAGCTCCGAAGCGGGTGGCCGGGCAGGTGTTCCGCCCCCACCCGGCTTCGCAGCAGCGCTACACCGGCGGCTGGGGCAGGTGTTCCCCCCCCCACCCCGCTTCGGAGCAGCGTTCCGACGGGGGTGGCTGGGGACAGGTGTTCCCGCCCCCCGCCCGGCTTCGCAGCAGCGCTACGAAGCCCGGCGGCTGGGGCAGGTGTTCCCGCCCCCCCACCCCGCTTCGGAGCACCGGGAGAAGCGATCTCCCCGCAGCCCCTTGCTTCAAAAGAGGTCCGGGGGCAGACCTCTTTTGAAGCAAGGGGCGGTGGGGAGAAGCGATCTCCCCGCCGCCCCTTGCTTCAAAAGAGAAGACCCGCTGTCCCCGGGGCAAGCTTCGTTTTGCGAAGCAAGCCCATAGGGAAATTCGTCTTGCGAGGCAACTCGAAAACGAAAAAACCTTTCGTTTTGCGAGTTTTTCGTCTCGCGAGGCGTTCGTCTTGCGGGGTACCACTGTACCGTATTTTTCGCTCTATAAGACGCACTTTTCCCCTCCTAAAAGTAGGGATGTGTGTGACTTGAGTGTAAGGGGAGCTCTGCTCACCTGGGCTGCCTTCTCCCTCCTCGGGACAACCCAAGAGCTCACACAATCTTTAAGGGGCCGCCTTGAGAGCCTTAGGCACCAGCCTCTCCCGGGATATAAGCTCCCTTGCCCGGGAGAGGCCTGTGCACCGAGCAAAGCCAGACAGCAGCGGTTGCTGCCCCCTCTGTTCCTTTAAGGCAGAGGCTGCTACGGAGCTTCGCTCTATGGCGGAGGTGCCCCACCTCCCAGAAAAGCCCCCAAGAGCCGTGCTCCCTTTAAAGAGCGCACAGCTTCTTGCGGAGGTGGGGGGAAAGCCAGTAGGCTTGCTTTCGCTGGAGCCAGGAGGGCAAGAGGGATCGGTGCGCACCGATCCCGCTTGCTCTCCTGGCTTCAGGGATAGCCCCACAAAGCCTCCTGAGTGAAGAGGGAGGATTGCTCCCTCTTAGCTCAGGATGCTTTGCATTGCTTTCTTATTTCTTGTTTTCCTCCCCCCAAAACTAGGTGTGTCTTATGGTCCGATATGTCTAATAGAGCGAAAAGTACGGTATGTTCATGATCCTGGTGTGGTCTGAACATAGTAACCACCGTTTTCTTGGTCAGAGAAAAAAATGGGAAACTATAGTTTATTAGATAGGGAGGTATTCAAATACATTTTTGAGTTAATACCAGGGGACTTCCCTGTCTCTCCTACCCTCGTGCTATCCCCAAATCTGCTCCGGAGGGTAGGGGGAAACCGCAGAACAGATTTAGGAGGCACATACAAGGAAAAGAGGCCTACCACGAAGAGAGGAGGGAAGGGCATGTGCAGGGAAGGATTATAAACATATTGGCTTATTAGTCAACGCATGTGCAACCAAACCAAAGATAGATAATTCGGCATTGAATATTTTGCTTTTTTGATTGCATTATAATTTGGAATGTTTTAATGTGGTTTTTATTGGATTGTTCAAATGCAAAATTTAATAAATAATGTGTGTGTGTGTGTGTGTGTGTGTGTGTGTGTGTGTGTGTGTTTAAATTAAAAGAAGTGCACTAACCGGTCTTCAACTGCTGTAGCACCAAGCAGGATAAGTCCCTTTTCTATCTGCTCATATGCCTCAGCCAGTTTCTTCTCCCGATCCCGAAGGGCCAGTTTGGCCTCCTGCAAATGCTTCTGCACATTCTCGTATTCTTCACAGGTGAATTTCTTATACGCTACACATAACGTTCGCAGGCCCTCCTAAAGGAAATTATTTTAAAAGCACAGAGACGTGTTCATTGAAAGTGTTCTGGAAATTTTCAGTTCTGCAGGTTATAATTTAGGTTTCTGCCTCGTGTAGTGGTTTAATTGACTTGAGGTTAGAATGCAAGTTTATCGACTGCCTTGAGAAAGGCAACAATTTGGTTAACTTGAACGTTGCCTCTGGAGAAGGCTATGAGAAAGCTGGAAACCCAACTTCTCTACAGTTTTGGGAAAAGAAAGAAAGAAAATACTGTTGATAGAGGTGGGCAAACCAACTATGGCTTCCATCAAAAACCCATATGTGACAAGCAGAACTACAAGATTCTTGAGTATCTCTAAAGATTTATGCTGTGTGTGTGGCCTGTCACAAAAAGTGCACTGAAGGAGAATGGAAGTCAACACAACGATGACTTCCTCATCTAAGTTTGCCCTTGCAAACTGACTTTTGCAGCTTTCTGCCTTGAATGCACACAATTTGCACATAATAACTGCCAAATGCTGGATCTTACCACTGCATTGCGCTCAACTCTTGATCTAATCTGGTCTATTTTGCCTTCCGCAACTCTGGGGAAAATAGACGAATCTGCTCCTTTACAAAACAGAAATATTTCTCCTGGAAATGTAAGCAAAACAAAATTTTAAAAGTGGGTTAAATTCAGATAAAGCCCTTGCTGTTCTGAACCACAGGTTCAAAGGATAGCACGGGGGAGTGGCTGGGTAGAGGCATATCAAAGAAGGATGTCAAAAACGCCAGAGTGATTACCTCTAGTATTATTAAAAGACTTACAGCAAAGTAGCCTGGCAGGTCTCCTAGCCTCTGCAGACGCAGAACAGACAATGCAGCAAGGAGGTGGCTTGTCTGCCCCGGGTCTGCAAAGGCTAGGAGACCTAGCAGGCTGCTTTGCTGTAAGCCTTCCTTAATAAAAAAAAACTAGAACTTATCACTCTTTGGTATCCTTGCACTCAACCACTCCTGTGATCCCTCCCCTTTGGGCCTATGGTTCAGAACCCTTGCCGCCAAAATATTTAAAAAGTCTTCTTATGAAACAGCTTTTTGAAATTATCACACTCTATATTAAATGGACTCAAATTAAACGGAGTCAAAATTACAAGCATACTACAGTCGTACCTTGGTTTTCTAACAGCTTAGTTTTGGCTCCTGAAAACTGCAAACCCAGAAGTGACTGTTCCAGTTTGCGAATTATTTTTGGAAGCCGAACGTCCGACGGGGTTTCTGCGGCTTCCGATTGGCTGCAGGAGCTTCCCGCAGCCAATCAGAAGCCATGCTTTGGTTTCCGAATGTTTTGGAAGTCGAACGGACTTCCGGAAAGGATTCTGTTCGACTTCCAAGGTACGACTGTATTCGAAAATATGACGGAACAGTAGAAAACAGCAAAAATCAAGATAGGCTAAAGAGCAAAAGATCTGTGATAATCTGAGGCCCTTCTTCATGTACTCCCTTCCACAATAGGTCTGGAGGGTGAGAATGGGGCCTTTTCTGCAGTGGCTCCCCATTTGTGGAATGCTCTCCCCAGGGAGGTTTGCCTAGCGCCTTCACTACATATCTTTATGTGAGGAGCAAAAAGGTTCCTTTGTAATCAGGCCTTTGGCTGATTAAACAGTCTATGGCCTTTTAAAAGTGTTTGTGGGAGGGGGCTGGTATTTGTTGTTGTTGTTGTTGTTGTTGTTCTTATGATAGGTATTTTGTGTTTTCATTTTGTATTTTTATGTGATAAAGCGCCCTGTGATCTTCGGATGAAGGGCAGCATATAAATTTACTAAATAAGTACAGTAATAGATTTCAGACTTAAACCAAGTTCCCAAGAGCTTAGGGACTAGACTTTTTTTCTTTTCTTTAAGTACCTTTTGCCGATTTAACTATCACACTCATTCGTCTCCTTACAGAATCAAAACTAAGGATTTCCAATAGTTCAAACCTAAAGGGGGAAAAACAAGGACATGTTGTAATAACGTACGTTTTTATACACACACACACACACACACACGGAGTAAAACAGATGTAAATCCATGATCCCTGTGAGATAAACAAAGCGTTTCATTAAACTCCATACCCTTGGCTCAAAATCCAAACTGACAGACTTGCAAATCACCCCCGTAATAAACTATACAATCAACGAAGCAAAGTGTTTTTCTCAAAGTTAACTTTTTAAAAGGCCATTAAAGACAAAACATACTTATGTACAGGACAACAGTGCACAACTTACCTTTCAATATCATTTTCTCGATTCAAGATTTCCATAAAATTGTCCTTCAGTCTTAAATAGGTGTAACCAAGCCTGAAATTCAACGGTAGATACACATCAGAAGTTACAACAACTCACTGTATGTCACTGAGTTTACAGTAGACTGAACTGTGTGGCGGCTTGTGTATTACTAGAAACAAACTTCTCTAAATTTCATTTACAGATCACACAAGTTATTATTTGCTCAAGCTGGCTCAAGATTTCTCTGTGGTTTTGTTTCTCATTTCAATGTTTTGAGAACAATCCTACCACATAAGCTGCTCCCACAGTTCAGGACCATTACTTTCCACCACTTTTCAAAAACACTTTACTTTTTGTTCCCCCTGTACTCTTGCATGGACATACAGACACACCTAAGTACCTTGCATGTTCACCACACCCAAATGACAAGAATCAAGTAAGTATACGATGAGGATGGTATTAATCTTTTCCTCCCCAAAAGATATGGGCACAGAAGTACCTAGACCTAGAGACACCTGGACCTGATTAGAGCCTGCTTCATAACAAGTAGATTATCCCCACATGATAAGTTATCATCCCTGCTCCCATCCAAGATGCTCCCATTGCAAAACATACCTGCTTCAAAGCTCTTAAAGGCAAAACACTCCCTCACTTTGACCGCCTGCTCTAATATTGTGCTGGCAGGAATAGCAGAGTAGTCCTTAGTGTCCCATTACACATATAGCCTGTAAAGTTGTACAGCTGTTGTGCAGTACCTTGTAATGAAATTCTACCTTTCTGTTTCTTGTCCATTCTCTCTCCACTGCCCCGGCCACCCTGCATGCCTCCCCCTTCTACTAATGTTAACAGTTCTACCAGCTCTGAGCCACACAAGTTCTCTCCAGGAACAGTAAACGGGTTTGAGAAAGCAGAAGAAAAGTTTATTTTTCAACAGAGACATTCAAACAACACCTCCCGCGCAGCAAGGCCTGACCTCTCCCCCTCTCTCCATTTCCTGTGTCCTCTTCACTTTCATTTTACCCTCGGCACATCTCTCACTTCAGGGACACCTTCACAAAGATATTTCTCCCCAACGACTGCCTTTGGAGTTACTATCAAAGGAAACGAGTCTCAGCTCTCACACAAGCTGGAAAAAAGGCATTATGGTCCATACCTCTGAATCCCTTCAACTAAAGCAACTTCATCAGGGGACGATGAAATATACACGGCAGACCTCCCCGACAGCTGTGCTTTCTTCAACCCATCCACGTTGTCATCTTCCTTCACTTGAACAGTGTGACAAAGGCACAGAGCACGGAAAAAGAGTTCTTCTCTGTCCTAATAAAGAAGAAGAAGAGGCGTTTGGACTTGATATCCTGCCTTTCACTCTTCTTAAGGAGTCTCAAAGTGGCTAACATTTTCCTTTCCCTTCCTCCCCCACAACAAACACTCTGTGAGGTGAGTGGGGCTGAGAGATTTCAGAGAAGTGTGAGTAGCCCAAGGTCACTCAGCAGCTGCATGTGGAGGAGCGGGGAATCAAACCAGGTTCACCAGATTACGAATCCACCGCTCTTAACCACCACACCACGCTGGCTCCCAAGAAGAATGCTGCTAACACAGATTTCCAACTCCGAGGGAATTGGCAACAACATTTAATACTTTGCACATGTAACAGTAGCAGCTGAACAGACTAGATTGCCATGCATTATTTAAGTTCACATACTAAATTCTTTTGGTAAGTTAAAGGTTGTTTGTGGGAGGAAAGTTTTTTTTTTTATAAAATATTTATTGAGATTTTTTAAACAATCAAATAACAGAGTAACAGATATAAACAGAAAGAAAAAAGTCAGAATAAGATTATACATAAGAAAAAAAAATAGAAATGTAGAAAAAAAGTAAAAATAGGATGCATATATTAATAAATCCACTTTCTATCACACTTTGGACTTCCTCACATCACCCTTCCCTGCGTTCCCAATCAGACAGTTATGTGCAGCAATTTGTTACCTTACTTCCATTTCTTATTTTATAAATCACCAATATTCAATTTCAACTTTAAAATCTGTTGGTCTTAAATTAAACTGCTTATAAAGAACCTAATATTACTTCAAGTTTCAACATTACCTTAAACATCACATCTTTTCATATATCTTACAATAATTTTACTGCTGCCATGTTTCTTTCATTTGTGCATTCTCCTAACATTCATACAATTTGTAGTGTTTTTGTAAATAGTCCTTAAATTTTTTCCAATCCTCTTCCATCGTCTCTTCTCCCAGGTCTCGAATTCTGCTAGTCATTTCAGCCAGTTCCATATAGTCTATCAGTTGCGTCTGCCATTCTTCCAAGGTGGGCAAATCCTGTGTCTTCCAGTGCTTAGCAATGAGTATTCTTGCTGCTGTTGTTGCGTACATAAAGAAAGTTCTATCCCTCTTTAACACCCCTTGGTCAGCAATGCCCAGAAGGAAGGCCTCTGGTTTCTTAAGGAAGGTATACTTAAATACCTTTTTTAGTTCATTATAAATCATTTCCCAGAAAGCCTTAACCCTTGGGCACGTCCACTAAAGATGAAAAAATGTTCCTTCAGCTTCTTTGCATTTCCAACATTTGTTATCAGACAGGTGATATATTTTTGCCAGCTTTGTGGGAGGAAAGTTGCCCATCCTACACTCTGGCGTCACCTGAGATGCTTTAAAGGCCTCTGCGGACTAATTGGGACCCTCCTAAGCAATGCAGCAGAGGGACGCGGGTGGCGCTGTGGATAAAAGCCTCAGCGCCTAGGGCTTGCCGATTGAAAGGTCAGCGGTTTGAATCCCCGTGGCGGGGTGCGCTCCCGTCGTTCGGTCCCAGCGCCTGCCAACCTAGCAGTTCGAAAGCACCCCCGGGTGCAAGTAGATAAATAGGGACCGCTTACTAGCGGGAAGGTAAACGGTGTTTCCGTGTGCGGCTCTGGCTTGCCAGAGCAGCGATGTCACGCTGGCCACGTGACCCGGAAGTGTCTCCGGACAGTGCTGGCCCCTGGCCTCTTGAGTGAGATGGGCGCACAACCCTAGTCTGTCAAGACTGCCCGTACGGGCAGGGTTACCTTTACCTTTACCTTTAAGCAATGCAGGATGCTGTTGTTCTCCCTAGAGTCCTCCCTATCTCTGGACTCTCATTTATGTTTCAAACCAGTTCATCTTTGAACAACAGTGACTTTATTAAGAAGCTACCATTGGAATAGAAAAGGATTGCAAAGGATTTAGCATACTGACTAGATAAATTGCTATAAGCCACTTTAATTTGAAGTGTTTTTGTCTTTGCTAGCTTGTTTGGAGCAAGGGTATCCTTCAGCTTTGCAAACTATTATTTGTAAATATTACGAGCAACAGTTCTTGAATTATAGCAAAGCAGGAATGTCGTATTAACAAGGGGGGGGGGGAATGGAACATTCTGAAAGCAAAATTCCCACCTGACAAAAAGCTACTTTATTTAACCAAGTGTCATGTTTTCGGTATTTAATAAAATAATAATAAAAATCTTCATACTTTGCCACTTCCTCCTGGGGAAGAATCAATCATATCAATACCAGCAGAATCGGGGAGAATTTGGCCATTACAGATGACATGAGGAACATACACATGGCCCTCAATGCAGCATTCTATGAACTCCATATTGTTCTCTGTTAAGGTCCCTGTTTTATCTGTGAAGACATATTCAACCTGAAGAGAAACAGATAGAACAATTAAGAATTAAAACAAGAAGAACAGAGCTGGAGGGCAAGGCAGGGAAAGTCAGATATTTCGATAGATGAAGGTTTTATGTGATACTTTTTTGTCCTCTGTCCTTGAAAAAGCATGCAGTGCTTGTCTTTTCCAGGTGAGGCATAGGAACTTCCAGCCCATGGGCTTAACCTGGTTCACCAGAACTCTTTACTCTTTATTCAGTTCTCGGTATTATCCATATGACACTGAAATGCGTCCAGTTCTGGGCACCACCACTTAAGAAGGAGATTGACAAGCTGGAAAATGTGCAGAGGAGGGTGACCAAGATAGCTAAGGGTCTGGAAACCATGCCTTATGAGGAACAGTCGAGAGAGGTTGGGAATGCTTAGCCTGGGAAAGAAGAATTTGAGAGATATAATAGCCATCTTCAGATGGCTGTCACATGGAAGATGGCGAAAGCTCGTCTTCTCCTGCTCCAGAGAGTAGGGCTCGATGCAATGGATTCAAGTTACAAGAAAGGAGATTCTGACTAAACATCAGGGATAACTTTCTGACAATAAGAGCTGCTCGACATTGGAACAAACTCCCTCAGGAAGTTGTGGACTCTCATTCCTTGGAGATTTTTAAGCAGAGGTTGGGTGGTCATCCGTCACGGATGCTTTTGTTGAGATGACCTCTGGGGTACCTTCTAATTCTACAGTTCTGTGATTCTATGACACACTGCCTTTTCTTGTCCCATTGTACAAAGAGCTGGCCATGCAGGAAGAGGTATTTCCAAGTAGAATGGTCTTCTCAATATCTGCAGGAATCTAAATATCAGAAACAGCTGCAAGATTTGTAGGATAAATTGTACGTGACTTGTTACCTGCCCCAACTCTTCATTGAGGTCAGACGTATTCACCAGCGGCCCTTCACCTGTTTCTTCATCAAACATTTCTTCATCCCAGGTAAGGAAATAAGAACCAAGAAACTTCTGCATTTCTACTGTGACGTACATGGATACAGGAATGATGTAGTTGAAAAGAACCATGAAGGCAAGGAAATCTGTAAATGCTGTAATAAACTGCCAAGGCGGAGGGGTTGGGGTTGGGGGGACAAAAGCAAAGAATTTATTTGGATATACAGTAACAGCAAGAATCTTAGGTGCAATCAAGCATTTGGATCGACTTCTATCAAACATGCATAGGATTGCACTCTTAGGTTGCAATCCTAAGCACATTTACTGCAGAATAAGTCTTATTAATGACTGCACTGTTAAACGTTTGAGATATATAACTTAACTCCCTCTCTTTCATCCCAGCATAAAATTCTGCCTCATCCAAAATAGTCACTGATCTGCTCTGCAAAAACAATCTTTAGGTTTATTATATTGTTTGTATTCTAAAATACATATTTTTAAACTGTAGGTGTATCATGAAGAAAAATCAAGTAGTTAGCTTAGGCCCAGTGCAGCCATAATGGGCTTACTCTAATAAACTTCTTGTTGGTGCAAGAAGCTTGTTGGTGCATGAAGAATTGACAAGTTCAAGCACATTCTCCTCCTTGCCTGGCCTTCTGTTCCTTTGCACAGAGCTGCAGACATGACTTCTGTGTTTCTTAAACTAGTTTTCCACAACATCCCAAGCAGGAAACTGGTTTGAGCATTTCCTTCTTTCCAGTTCATTTTTCCTTGTTCATGTGCTTAAAAAACTGTGGGTTTTTTGAGCAGCCCAATTCACATGCACTTTGCCAGTACAGTGGTACCTCGCAAGACGAAATTAATTCGTTCCGCGAGTTTTGTCGTCTTGCAATTTTTCTCGTCTTGCGAAGCACGGTGTCGGAAAAGTTTTGGAAAAGCTTCAAAAATCACCAAAGTCTTCAAAAACCTCAAAAAAAGCTACCACACCGCGTGCTATGAGTTGCTCCTCGAAGTCAAGTCGCAACTGTATTAACGGTGCTAAGAAAAAGGAAACAAAATTGCAAGACGTTTCCGTCTTGCGAAGCAAGCCCATAGGGAAAATCGTCTTGCGAAGCAGCTCAAAAAACCCTTTCGTCTTGCGAGGCATTCGTCTTGCGAGGTACCACTGTACTTGCTTTTAAGTAACAGAAGCCCCAAAGAAGATACACAGAAAGAAAAAGCTTCTTTATTCAGATTAACCTGTAGGATTGGAAGGGTGGTGGAGCAAAGAATGTTCCATATTATTTGCAAAGGAAGAACACTCTTGAAGGCATTACCAAGCAATGTAGTTATTGGAGATATGTAAGGGCAGAAATATAGCAAAACTGCATTATCATCATCATCATCATCATATGCCATGAGTTGTATCCAGCACTGCCACATAGGTGACAGTAAGGCTTCCATCAATGGAACAGGGAGAAAAGCCATTTTCAGCAATTCCTCCCTCCTCCTCAGAGGGTATGGGAAATCTTCAGAGCAAATTTAGTGAGGCACTGAGGGAGGGGGAAATAACTGAAAACCACTTCTTTTCCCATGCTACTGACAGAAGCCTTATCATCAGCTGTAGTGACACTATTGCGCAAAACCCTTAAATCTTTTATTAAACCTCAAGTTATTCACATACCACATTCCTTTTCCGTTCCAGTTCTGTTTTCTCATTATACCAAGGCTCATCGCGAAACTGCTCACTTTGCCACACGTATTTCAGGACAGTATTTATTAGTGATTTACTGATCAGAATACAGAGGTATACAATAAGAAATACATTCATGGATCTGAAACAAATGAGAGGAAAAGGTTTTTAGCATAAGTAAAAAAGGAGATTTTTTAAAATGTATGTTAGCATGCTTTTGATTTAGTCTAAGCCTTCCCCTCCCTCCATGTAAATTTGACATATCTAACAAATGCAGCAAAAGACCTTTTGCAGAAAAGGCATTTGCAATTCATAATAGGGAATAAAGGATCGCACAGTGCATATTACAAAGGTTATCAGTGCTCTTGATGAATCATGACCCACATGTATTATTTTGGTTTTGATAGGTGGACAAATGTGCATATATCCCTCAGGCTATGCACTATAAACCAAACTTACTATATCCTCAGTTCAACACCAGTTATGATCAGCTCATTCTTCTGGGATGACAGGGCTAGTTGTGAAATTGCCATGACCAAAACCATTATCTTTGTCTGAACAGTACTAACATGTGCATGCAAAGGCATTTCCAAAGAATTCACACTCCCACTTTTCTTCTCAGGAACATGGGAGTGGTGTCTTACATAGGACCGCCACTATTTCATTCTCACAACAAACCTACAGGTGAGGTTAAGGGGGAAAGTACATAAATGAATATGCAACATGCTGCAAGACTGAACGATAATCTGATTTCCCCGGTCCAGATCTAACAATCCAGAAAGGTGTTTTAAATTTGTGCATTTGGCTGTTTCTAGAAGCAAACCAGTGAAGGAGGAACTGGTGGGCCTTTCAGAGTTTTGTCATATTACATGCATTTTGCATAAACCACCATGTGGTTAATGGCAAGCACTGATCACCCAGTATAGTTAGAGGTGCCACCAAACTTGTACTCTGGTGACGGGAAATCATGACTGTGACGAAGACGAAGCAAGCATTTTGTTCCCCCAATTCTTCTCCAGCTCAGATGCAGTGGTAGTTTCCTTGCAGACGGTAAGTCACTGGGAAAGGACTCTCTCTCCCCGCTCCCTTCTCTAACAGACTGGTATGCTGCAATGCAGCACCTAGGAGCCCTATGGGGAAACTGTGCATTCTTTGGGATATTAGGGGCTTTGAAGAATGGCATGTGCTACATTGCAGCATGGCAGACCACCCAAGAGCAGAATGCCCCTCCTTTTCTTCTCCCTACAGCTTATTGCTGCCATTGGCTGTGCCAGTACCCTATTAAGTAAGGTTTAAGGCAGGAATGTCCCAAGTCCTTTTTGGGGGCCTAATTCAGCCCCCCAGACGGTTTTATCTGGCCCCTCCTGTGGCAGTTTATTTATTGGGGTCAAATCCTTAAATAAAATAACATTGGGGTAAAATCGTAAAAAAAGGTTGGTTCACTTCATCAAATCTGGCCCTCTTTGAAAAAAGTTGGGGCACCCCTGGTTTAAGGGAAGGGGTTTGTGGGGATTGGTGGATATGAAGTGGATCCAATTTTGACTGGTTCAGAAATAAGCCCAAATATTTCCCAGTATAATGTATGAAACAAACTCATGCTTGTCTGAAAGAACAAGACAAGTACAAACAGGAATGGCATCAGAAGCAGGGCTTTTTCCCCCAGCTAGAACTCGCTGGAACTGCGTTCTGGCACCTCTCAGTTTGGTGCCATTATAAGAGAACAAGGAAGGTGAGTTCCGGCATCTCGTTTTCTAGAAAAATAGCACGGATCAGAACTTTTTCAAAGCTAGCAGTTCTAAACTGGCAATCAAGTGATGACTGTATCCCAATGTGTACGAACAAACAACAGAAGAACAAAACCTTCATAGCAGGCTTACGGCACGATTAGTTATTTCCAAAACAAACAAACAATGATAGGGGGTTTTCGCTGCTTCACATCATGCAGACATTTCCTTTCCTCTCCTGCTTCCCACTGATCTTGCCCACACATATATGCATATTAGAAGCACTCATAGCTTTACTTTTCCACAGCAGATCGTTTCTGAGATTTTGATTGGTAGTTCAATGCCATTTTTGTTTCCATGCCTGTGTAGATAGCAACACCTGGAACAAACAGAAATACTATTTCATAAAAAAAAAATATGGATGTGGGTGAACGTGCATATTATGTAATATTACACACAACCGCTAGCTAATGCAGCTAATTACACATTCTATTAAAAAGGATAGGATTGTGTAGGAAGACACAGCTGTGGGCCTGATTTAGTGAGTCTGTTAATGGATGCATTAACAACTGCATACATTCAGCTGCAGGGCTCAGCTGAAACTGGAAGTGGTGGGATAATATTTGCTCAAGTTTTTAGGGGGGGGGTTAGGGCAATAAAACACATCTAGCATTTTAGCAGATTTCTTCCGGAAGGGCACAAAAAATGTTCATCCGTTCAGACTGAGGGCAATGCTGATGCAGGAATCATTTCCCTTACTAGCTCTGTTTTCCCTCCATAATCATATTACCAAATCGGATTGGCTACATAATGTAATGCCATAATTACTATATGACAACCCCCAATTTGATGAGATGGCTAGTGTGACGAAATCTGGGGAAAAGACAACCCAGAAAAATGGCGACAGACTAAAAAGGAAAGAACAACAACAAGCAGCGAATATTTGCAGAATTAAGTGGTTATTCAGGAATGATTTGATTTCAAGAACACTATTTTCAGCCCCCAAATATAATATATATTAATATATTAAGTGTCATAGAAATTAAACCATCATCACCACCATCAAAACAGATAACAGTCCTTTTCAATGGGATGTTTTTCCCCAATTCTTATTTTTTTAGCAGAATATCCTCTGTACAACATCAGAAGATGCTGCTGAAACTTAAATCTCCTCATTTATATCTCTGAATTAGGACTGTTACTGCTTTTATAGTAATTTACCAAATATTTTCTCTGTGTTCTTCAACGTAGCTCCTCTAAGAAGCACATTTTCAGATCCCAATGGCCTACAAAGGTAATAAGTGGCAAATATTAATTAACTGTCTGAAGTGGCAGTATGAAGGCAGTGTTTTAAACACAAGATAAATAAGGTTAAGTTTAGAAAAGAAAATAAGTTCACATTCCTGAAATGGTGGGCACCTCCAGATGACATTTATATTCAGTATTCATCCTGATTCACCTGTATGGAAGTTATATGTTTTCTTCAATGCTAAAAGCAGGTCATGCAATTGGTATAAACCTAAAACTTCTTATTAAAAAGTCCTTTCCAGGAAAGTAGGATAAGAGCTTTACTCATAAATGTGAGGATTCCTGTCAGGGCTTTAAAAAAAAATACTTATTTTTACGTACAAGCCTTATTAGCTGTATTTTAATAAAAATTGTTCAGGGTGGCATAAAAAAAAGCATACAAATGCAGAATAAAACAGCATGACATCAGTAGAAAGACTACAACCAGCGTATAAACCCATAAAATATTAAAAGGAAATGCCACTTGAACTCAATATGGATGGCATTAATCTTTCTTTAGCATTTCAGCACTTAAGCACTGGGAACCTTAGCAGAAGATTTTAATCTAAGACCATCAGTGCTTTAAAAACCAAAATGTTCTATAAACTCAAGTAGTGCGGTTAACCAGCTAAAAAAGAACTTCTGCGCATTCTAAGAACAGCACATTAAAGGCTTTTTAAAAAGGACTCACGTAGAGTATACTCATTTTTATGGTTGGTTGCACTTGAGGGTTGGAGTAGGATGGGGCAGATTATTAGCCACAATTTCATTCTGGTAAAAGCAAGACAAGGGTGTTCACCAATCCTATCATCTAACTTTGTATCTAGCTGCCAAAATTTCAGAATCCGTTCCTCCACTGGCAGCTTCAATGGAAGCCGCATAGAGTTTTGTCCCCATACACAGTGCCCAGCCATACATAATCAAGTCCTTTTTGTGTCATGTTCAACTATGTGCCTTCCATTCCCTGATGATCTGCTCCCTGATACTGATGAACAAAGGTGTGGGAGCAGGAAAAAACAGGTGGGCAGAAAGGGATTCGCATCAGGCTCTTGGCCCAGCTTTTTCAGGATAATGAAGCCACCATCTCAAAGAAAACTCAATGCTCCTGATAGTCTTCATGCCCATTCTTCGCATCTGCTCTTCTCTGCTACAACGTGCCACGGTTTCACTTGTTTTGTTGCATATATTCCGAATTTAACTAGCCCTGACAGTGTACATGCATGCACTGGTTTTTTTAAAAACAATATTTCTACGCAACCCCAATACCAAAGTTCTCTGGGTGACGCTGATAAAAATTCTTAAAAGGCAATATATTGCAGCACAAATTAAGCGATAAAATCAAACACCATCAGGTCTTTAAAACTTTTTAAGGATGGAGGGGAAAAAACTGCCTGGCAGGTTGTCCTATAGTATTTGCTTATGGTAAGGATTGAATAACCCAGGCATTGCATGTTTTAAGTCCTACCTTGCAACAGGCTCATCTCTCTCATGGTAAACATTTATCCGACCAACAAATCTGCAAGAGGAAAAACAGATTAGGAAATACCTCAATATCATTATGCCTGTAGGAATGCAGAGAAGAGTATTCCAGTAATTGTGCAGCCTTGCATGCAAATAAGTTCAGCTATTGCCTCTAGGGAAATGAATCACAAATGCACCTTTGAAACGCATTGCATTCCAACCCTTCAATGCAAAACTTCTACAGTTTGTATCCTTAGCGGTCCCTGGATGCCTCAATGCAAACGCAAAACAGAACACCACAATAAATGAACCTGACCTTTCACCCAAAACCTATTTCCCTCGTTTCATCATATATTTGTTTACTTCAGAGCATTTATATACCGCTTGATTGTAGAAAACCTCAAAGCAGTTTATAAGATTACAGTCAAAGTAGGGGTTTTCTTTCATTTGGAGTAGTGTATTCATATCCTGACTTCTAATTCCACATACTGTGACAAGATGTTGAAAATCAAAATTTCAGGATGGTGAACGGCGATCATCTCTAAGGGTGCACTGACATTACGCAGGGACAATGGAGTAAGATTCTGGTGAGAGATACTAGGAGAAAGGTAAGCCTGAGTTCCTATGACTGCTTCCTGGTAGGGTTTTCCCCTCAGAGATTGCTGAGGCCTTGTGATCTGATTCAACCTAACACCTGCAATTTATATGGGAATATTTCTTCATTATGAATTTTATACACAGTGGTACCTTGGGTTAAGAACTTAATTCATTCTTGAGGTCCGTTCTTAACCTGAAACTGTTCGTAATCTGAGATACCACTTTAGCTAATGGGGCCTCCCGCTGCCGCGGCGCAATTTCTGTTCTCATTCTGAGGTAAAGTTCTTAACCCGAGGTATTACTTCCGGGTTAGCAGAGTCTGTAACCTGAAATGTTTGTAACCCGAGGTACCACTGTATCCCCCTTTTTGCTCAAAAATATTAGTGGTACCTCTGGATGTGAACGGGATCCGTTCCGGATCCCGCTGCCGCTGCTTGCGGTGAGTTGCCGGCATGCCGAAGCCTGCGCGCGCTGAGATCAGCGCGCCCAGGCTTCGCGGACCTCTCCTGCCTTCAAAAGCCGTCCGGGATAGCGGGAAGCGCTTCCCTGCTATCCCGGACTGCTTTTAAAATGCTGGCGGTGGGGAGCAAAGCCTTTCGGCCCCCGCCAGCCTTCCTGGACCTCTTCTGAAGGCCAGAGGGGGGGGGAAAGGCTTTGCTCCCCACCGCTAGCATTTAAAAGAGGTCCCCGGAGATTTCCCTATGGGCTTTCGTCTTGCGAAGCAAGCCCATAGGGAAATTTGTTTTGCGAAGCGCCTCCAAAACGGAAAACCCTTTCGTCTAGCGGGTTTTCCGTCTTGCGAGGCGTTCGTCTTGCGGGGTACCACTGTATTACTATTTAAACAACAACAACAACCATTCTGCTGATTCCAAACCCCACCTGGCTGCTGGTCAAATGGAGTATCAGAGACAGCAGCAACCATACAACAACAGCAGCTCCAGCCTGCAAGCAGTCACTTTTTCTTTGAGGCACTTCCTGTTTCTTTCTCTGGCTGGCATCTGGTAAAACTGGTAAAAGTAGTTGTTGATGTTCCTGGCTCTACACACCTCTGCTCAATCTGTCTCAATTACAACGTCACTCAAAGCATTCTCACCTAATTATCAGTTATAGACACGCATTCACCTGTGAGAATTAAGGTGTTTTCTTTATGCCTGCCAGCACTTAGCTGGGAGTCAGGAGACACACACACACACACACACAGTTCTCCAAAGGAAGAGAGAGAAGGAAAGAGACAGGAACCAACTCAACTGTACTAAATATGCTGCTTAGATAACAACAAGAACAAATTTTCTTTGTACCCCGTCCTCCCCGGGCTCAGAGCGGCTAACAGCATATAAATAACACAGTATACATAATTATGGGACAATTGACAATTCAGGAAAATAATTACCACATGTTCTTACTTATAAAGATCAGGCTGAGGTTGTTCACATTCAATGGTAGCATGCAATGTGTCGATATCCTGTTCGCTTTGAAAGGCTTTTGTATCTTGGACAGCATAATACGTCTAGAATGGACAAGACAGTGTAGTTCAGTATCAAGTCAAGGTGTTTATGAAACTGAAGTGAGAATTTTGAAAATAGAGCGGGAGACCCAAACCAACTTCTGTCATGAGCGCAGTGGTCAACTATTGTAAAATTCTGCAATTCTAAATCATTACGAGGTTTCCATAGCACATTGAAAAGTGAGTCAAATATTAACAGAAAACTACAATTACCATGCCTGCCAACTGTTGCAGCAGCCCATATTTACAAACAGGAGCAATCGAATTTTTCAAGCGTGTTCCTAAATGTGATTGTTTTGTTTATTAACAGAATATATTCTATCTGCCCTTGACAAAACTGTAAAGCCACAGGGGAATGTTTTATATTCTTTTACAATGACAAAATCTACAACTCTACAAAATAAAATTCACTAGTCATACCTTGGAAGTCAAACAGAATCCGTTCCAGAAGTCTGTTAGACTTCCAAAACGTTCAGAAACCAAAGTGCAGCTTCTGATTGGCTGCAGGAAGCTCCTGCAGCCAATTGGAAGCCGCGTTGGACGTTCTGCTTCCGAAAATCGTTCGAAAACCGGATCACTCACTTCCGGATTTCGATCGTTCAGGAGCCGATTTGTTCAAGCGTTTGAGATCCAAGGTACAACTGTATAAGGATAACAAGTTTAAGCTATTCACTCTAATAGTCATAGTAAAGGTAAAGGTACCCCTGCCCGTATGGGCCAGTCTTGCCAGACTCGAGGGTTGTGCGCTCATCTCACTCTATAGGCCGGGAGCCAGTGCTGTCCGCAGACACTTCCGGGTCACGTGGCCAGCGTGACATCGCTGCTCTGGCAGGCCAGCGCAGCACACGGAACACCGTTTACCTTCCCGCTAGTAAGCGGTCCCTATTTATCTACTTGCACCCGAAGGTGCTTTCGAACTGCTAGGTTGGCAGGCGCTGGGACCGAACGACAGGAGCGCACCCCGCCGCAGGGATTCGAACCGCCGACCTTTCGATCGGCAAGTCCTAGGTGCTGAGGCTTTAACCCACAGCGCCACCTGCGTCCCCTCTAATAGTCATATGTACATCATTTAGTGAAGAAGCCTTCAATGCCTATCTTTAACCCTTATATTGACATTTCATCAAATGCTATTCACCTTATGACTGGATTCACCATCCAAACTTGCTGTCGTAACAAAACATGTTCCATCTGCCCGACTACTGGACAAAAATATTAAGTCACAAGGGAACGTTTCATCTTCTTTTACCATTACAATATCTCCAACCTGGAAGAGAAGAGTGTAATCAGTCAATGTTTAAGAAAGAATTTTAAGTTGTCGATCCCAAGTGACTTAAAAAGCGAAAATCCACTGTTGTCCCTGTGTTGTCCCTGTCTTTCTTGCAGTTGCCTGTGCCTCAGGGACTGAGACAGCAATCCCATACATCTTGTATGAGAATAAGTGCTCTTTGATGCGGTAAGACTTGCTTCCAAGTAAACATTCACTGCCAGTTCCTACTATGGCTATGGCTATCAAGTCTACCTGCAGAGGTTAAAAGGGAGTTACCAACAGCTATTAATTACAAATTCATAAGAAGTTATCAATGCTGTAACATAATTAGTATACTCTTCTGCGGATTATATGAACATAGGTAACCTTTCAACAAACTATCACTTTTAGGACTGCATAAAGAAAAGAAAAGGTTGCTTTTTAAAAAACAACAACAACCAAATGTCCAAAATTATCCTATTGCATTATTTCAGAACAAGGCACTGCTATATGGTGTGTGTTTGTGTGTGTGTGTGTGTGTGTGTGTGTGTGTGTGTGTTCAAGCTCTGCTTAAACTAGAGCAAGATGAAAAATGTGAGCACATTTCTACCAAAAATACAGTCATTTTTCATGTTCTTGTTGGAGTAAAATAATATGCAAAAATCTCTCTCTCCTCTCTCTCTCTCTCCAGAGGAATGAGACAGAATCATCTGGCACAGCCTTCTCATTGACCTACTTGGCAAACAAAATAACCTTTCAAAGAATTTTAAATGACATAATTTACAAAGATGTGATCAATTCTTTTCCTAGCCATGGCAACTAACTAGAGCACTCATGTTTGGACACAGTATACCTCAAAATACTAGATATTAAGGAGAAACAACAGGGGAATGCTGTGCTTTCAAGAACTAAAATAAAACAAGTGTTTCAGGAGCCATCAAGCTATGCACTCATCTAGAAAACTGCAATTTATTCCCTGCTCAGCCCTTGTTTTTCATTTTTCCCAGTCCAACAGTTAATTAGCATTCCATGCTCACTAAGCATGCTCAGTTCTCAATGAGCTATTTTAGGGTTGCTGTCGTTTTCCGCTTTGGGTTTCCTGACAATTTCTGAATTACAAAAATGAAAGGCAGCAATTCCTATGTGGAAGTGGCTTCCATGATGTAATTTTTTTAACATATGGAATACCCTATACTTCTTAATACAAAAAAAATTCCTTCCAGTAGCACCTTAAAGACCAACTAAGTTAGTTCTTGGTATGAGCTTTCGTGTGCATGCACACTTCTTCAGATACCTGAAGAATCTGAAGAAGTGTGCATGCACACGAAAGCTCATACCAAGAACTAACTTAGTTGGTCTTTAAGGTGCTACTGGAAGGAATTTTTTTTTGTTTTGACTATGGCAGACCAACACGGCTACCTATCTGTAACTTCTTAATACAATTAAGCTTGATAGCTTAAGATTTGTTCAGTGTCCCTCCCTCATTTAAAGAAGGACTAACCGCTGACTAAAACTTTGCCAACAGCAGTTGTGGCACTCTACATGAGATGCCATTCCAAGGTGGTTATCACTCATGCAATATCTTCCCACTGCCACTGCTAGATTTTTAGTAACCAATTTTAAAGGTATACAGCTGTGTACTCAGTACTTAACATCAACCACTAAAAGTGATGCTTCCCTCTTATGGGCCATCTAACTCCCGCCACCATTGTTGCATATTTTTAGTGACAGATGAGGATCCCAAAATAACTACTTCTCTTTTTGAAGCAAAGTCTTCACCCTGGTTCATAAAAGGCTCCGCTGTGTTCTACCGTAGCCCACCTGATACATGGGACTAGTTTTTCTTCTAAAGGCAGGCAGAAACAATATTTATGAAATGAAGAAAGTTATACTCATGGTGTATATATCATGGAGAGTTGTATCCAACTCTCTCTCTTTCTGACACACCAACTCAAGTAATCTCCATCCAAGAAATATATTGAATAATAAATGGGACTCACTCTGAGTTTGCGGCTCTGCTTTCTAACCAGTTTGCCATGTCGAATGAAATGAACAGGACACTGGTTCATTGCATTGTCGGCTTTGTGACGAAGCCAATCTTCATAGCCCTAAATGAAATAGCCAATTAAATATTTATAATTCCCAAAAAAGGTAACCGTTTATCATTTATATTAGACTTGTACAACATTGTTGGAGAAACTGTAATTTCAAAAGTGTAAGGTGGGGAAGGGGCGGAGGTGGGGAACAGAGCAGGAGTTTGAAAATTATGATGATTGCTTGCTGACGTCTTTTTAAAAAAATGACATGACCCCAACTCAATTTGCATCCGCTCCTGATCATAATGGTGTATCACAGGGGTCAGCAAACTTTTTCAGCAGGGGGCTGGTCCACTGTCCCTCAGACCTTGTGCGGGGCCGGACTATATTTTGAAGGGGGAAAATGAACAAATTCCTATGCCCCACAAATAACCCAGAGATGCATTTTAAATAAAAGCACACATTCTACTTATGTAAAAACACGCTAATTCCCGGAACATCCACGGGCCAGATTTAGAAGGCGACTGGGCCGGATCCGGCCCCCAGGCCTTAGTTTGCCTACCCATGGTGTATCAGGTTCAAAATTATCATACTGCTGGTGGTTGCATGGTTGGGGTTGCACTCACACTTCTGGTATCCAGAAAAACAATATCTCAGGAAATGAATAAAATTTTTTTATAAAAAAACACCCATGCAGAATTTATACTATCTTCACTTATTACAGACAATGCTCTTACCTGTTTAATAGCTGTTACAGTGATGACAAAGAAAAGTGGAAGCCCACTTGTCACTGGGCTAGTTGGTGTGTCAATAATTAACTAGGAGGAAAAAAGAATTAGCATACATTTTCTAAAGAACAGCATTGTTGTTTTTCAAAAAATGGTCTTAAAACGTTTTTATTAGCAGCCTTTGATAAAGCACTCTGCAATCATTAAAACTGAACCATCTGAACATTAAGATGATAACCAGTGATTTACACATCACTTCCATAACATCTTAGAAGAGTTTGGCCACGTTGACTAATTCAATTTAATTAACTTATCAGAAAGCACGGTACTAGCGGCTACTGCACTTATTATGCAGAGGCAAATCTGGCTTACCACTGAGTGTACACTCGACAGGAATCTGAAATTAATCACAGACCTCCAATAAGCCTGCACGATTCAACTGTTTGCAAACATATGTTTGCTGTACACACAGCAGCGTATAAAGTGACCTTGAGCCACAGCAACACGAAGAATACCAACACAGCTTAAGCAGAACCATATACAGTACCTGGAAAGGGGAATGTTAAGTATTCAATTTTCCACTTGCAGTGCAATACCATTTAGCTTCTTGGAAAAGTATCTTACTTGTTGCATAGTCCATTGTATGTTGCATTGATTAGGTAACATGGTTCCCTCCCCCCTATCATTTTCTAATTTAACCTATGTATAGCTAAGCCCACATCCACACCATATATTTTAAGCGCTATTATGCCTCTTTAATAGTCACGGCTTCCCCCAAAGAATCCTGGGAACTGTAGTTAAGAGCTGTTAAGAGACCCTCCCTATTCTCTTCACAGAGCTCCATTCCCAGAGTTCCCTGGTTGTTAAACCACCCAGGAAACTGTAGTGAGGGGAATAGTTTGTGAGAGTCTAACAAATCTCAGCACTCTTAACTACAGTTCCCAGGGTTTTTGGCAGGAAGCCATGACTGTTAAAGTGGTATAATAGCGCTTTAAATGCATATTGAGGATATGGCCTAAGTTTAATGGGATGTACATTCCTGAAAGGCAGGGTGATATTACTACTACTAGTAGTAGTAGTAGTAGTATACTGCCCTACACATGAAAGTCTCAGGGTGGTTCATAACATAAAACATGTAAGTAATTGTAAAGACAAAAACACTTCATGACAAATTCCCTTTCTACCCCTATAAAATAAAACATAGCTGAAGAATCAAAATATTTAATTTTAGACATCCATATCAAATATGTATATCCTGTTTTAAATGAAATGTTTTAAATGAAAGAAAGAAATGTGTATATCTTACCTGTACAAGAAAAATGATGAGAAAATAAAAGTTAGCTATTCTTCGGAACTGCTCAAATAAATTCTTTGGGACAAAGTTCCAAAAAGTGTACTAAAAGAAAAAGAGAGGCAGAAACGGACCGTTGATGACATGCTGTGCTTTCAAATTTATCAAATGGTATACATTAGGAACTAATGGCTTTAAAAGGGTGGGGGAATCAATTATATATAGATCCCAGTTCTGAGAAAGTTAATCCAGCTTAAATCTTGATTTACACATAACTTCAGCAGAGTTAACTTTGCCTGGATCAATGGCATATATAAACTTAACTGCTCTAAGTAAACACAAAACATATCTGCAAAGCAATATTATTATGAATTTAAGTAAATAGCATAACTTGAGGCAAGCGGTTGGCATTATTAAGCAGACTGACATATCAAATCCCAGCTTTTCAGAAGGGATGAACTTCACCTTTTTGAATTTGACAGTTATTTGAGGAACGGGGCAGAGTGTTAGAAGGAATTCATGGAGCAACTTTGGAAGGTGTAGAAGAACGAACGCCATACTTGGATGGTCTACTCCAGCAGCAAACGATGTACCAAGAATTAACACCACAAATGAGCATGGGACCCAGAAGGAAATAACAGATGTCCTGGGCTGGGGGAGGAACATCTGTTTGGAGTAGGGAATTTCATAATTTCATAATTTTTTACATGGTTGAATGGCTCACAGGTGTAGATGCCATCCTGTTGGAGAAGACTGAGAAAATCTGCTGGAAATTCAAGGGGAATTCACCTGTGACTCTTTCTAGAAATGGTTACCTATGAGATTGGAAGCTTTCCAGCAGACCCAGGCCTGGATCAAGGGAAACTATCTGCTGAACTTAATGCTAGTCCTCCTCTGGTCAGGTCTAATTCTAGAGGAATAGGACAATGACTTCTCTTCTCATATTGGTCCTGAGTGATAATATATTTCCTTCCCATGATCCTCAATTCCTGCTATACCTCCTACTCATGCTTGCCTTCCATCAGCAGTAGATGTCTATACTTGAAACTACCAGCTTAAGTGATAAGATTCACAATGGGGGTGACATCTGTCAATATCACACAAATGCTAGCAACAAAATTCCAGAAAGCTATTATTAATATTCCATCTGCAGCTGGCTAGCCATCACTGACATGCCTCTGAGCAAGTGAGCTCCAATACGACTTGCAGGTGACATTTACGCTAAATATTAAGTCAGTAACACAATCAGACAGCTCTTCTGACACATGCAGAGAATGGCCCGTAAAGCAAAGTGTCCTTTTAAATATAGCTAATAGGAAATGCAAATAGAATGATAAATTAACACTGAATTGTAACATGGAAGACTATTATTCTTATGGGTTCAACTGGCAGTGTTCGCACAGGGTAGTCCAATGCGTGTCCTCAAGGCCTTTTTTGTTGGCCCTCAACAACATCTGGTGATCAGCCTTCACGGTGCCGCTGCCTTCCCAAAGCAAGGTAAGTGAGGCACTGGGCTTTGGGAAGGAGGCATGAGGTCTAGATGGGAAGGAGGTCTAGATGAGAAGGAGGCATGAGGTCCTAGATTCCTCTTGCCTCCTTCCCAAAGCCTAGTTAGCACGTTCCAACCTTTAGACAGGAGGTGGGAGGGATCTAGGACCCTGCCAGAGGTGACTCATCACAGATCAGACATGCACATTCCTGTGCCTTCCCTTACTTCCTTTCCCTTTCCCTGGATTCCCAACTTTTGCTTGACCCTTTGACCGCACCCTATTTGCTGCTCTGGACATTGACTTCTGCCTGACCTGACGATGTACCCAATCCTGACTTGTTTGTTTTAATTAACTGATTTGAAGCCACCCAGCACTTCCCACTGACTGCTTGCAGGTCTGCCCCCACAGCGTCCTGACACTGGGTTAAGAATGCCGTGATTATGATAGGAAGGGAAGAGACTGGAAGGTGTCGTTTGTCATTCAGCTGTTCACGCAGCGATAATTACAACTTGCCGCAGGTAAAGCAGCCCAGCGGCAAATTGTTCTTCTGGTCCTCTGGAAACTGCCCTGCTAGATATTTCTGAAAAACGTCTGTTATGACTGTGTATCATAAGAACAGATCAGCACCGTCTTTTAAGAGCACAGACTAGTGACAATTTGACTACAAGCAAATTTTAATGGTCGGAAGCAACATCTACTTTTTATTATATTCCTTTCCAATCAGCTGCTGCTGGTAAACAAAGGTAGCTCAGGAAGCAAAAAATAAAATTGTTGGTGGAAAAAAAGAAAAAGGAAGCTAACAGAGCAGAGTCAAAAGCATTAGGCAAATTATGCAAACGCACACACTACCTTTGAGGAGACTATTCTGTTATCCGGATACCTCTGTGGAATGTACGCTTCAGTGCCTGCAGGGGGTTCACGATGCCCAACATAAATAGTCCGATTGTCCACCCAATTCTCTTCTCCAGCACACTGTGGGAAAAAGAATGTGTCATTTTAGTTCAGTCTGTACTTCTGCATAGACATGAGTCATACACTGAACTGGCTAGCCCCGTCTCTTGGCATCAGTTGATCCTTCATTCTCTAATAGCTGTCAAAATCTTAACGCCCCCACCCCCCCAAAAAAGTCTTTGCCTATCTTCTCCTGAGCGATACTTAGATGACACATAAGAGTGAGCTGTCAAAATCCTGCCTTTAATTGCCTTCAGTAAGTCCCTTACTCCTGGAGCAATAAAGGCAAACCCACACAATTCAAATCTGTTACTCTAAACGGCGAGTTTTATATTTTGTCCTCATATTACTCTAAAAAGAAAAGAAAAGGCATGCACGCTGACACATCCCAGCTCTCTGAATACATATTGAGCATATTTCCCTATTCATGTGCACTGTAATCCAAGGAGCTATTTCAGGAGACTGCCAGGGCTTGCGCATATTTGGGTATTCTCTGCAAACTGCAAAGCTGAGGGGCCACTTGTGAAGTTCTTCCAAGTTTTGAAGCTATGCGACAAATAGCTGCAGCACCGCTTCTAGAAAGAGGGATTGGCTATGAAGCCCTGCTTACTTGGGGAGTGTAACACATTTATTTATTCAAAAGATTTATATGCTGCCTTTCTTGGGGGTGGGGATGCAAACTCCTGCCATGGCAGATTACAAAAGATTATGAAAACCATAAAGTATGGATGGCGAACCCTAATATGAAGACAAAAGGTAGAAGGCCTTTATCTGAAATCTTCTAAAATACATATGTACAGAAGTATACATGATTCTACGCATTATTATTTTGGATGTATGGAATTAGTAGGACTTGTTAAGGAAAGAGTTGTTAAGACTTTATATTCATATTTTTTTTAAAGGTGTTTTTTTTAAAGGAAGTTGTAATGGCCCCAGCCTCAAACCCAAGATTCAGAGGCTGGGTTTAGTGAGCAGGAAGAGGCTGGGGCAGAGAGCAGTCCAGAATCAGAGGCAGAAGTGGAGGCTGGAGTGGAAGGGGGCCAAGAGACAGCAATAAATCAGGCTGGTAAGGAAGCCAGGCTCTCCCATTTCTGCTGTGACCAGCTCCTCTCCCCCCTGGTTTCCCAGAATGAGATACAAGGTGAAGGAGCCTTAGGCTGCTGGGGAAGGAACCAGGAGAGGCAGAGACCTTCAGTCCTCGCAACTGTCTCATTGGGGCAAGACCTACTGGGAAGAGTTGTTGTGATCCCTAGGCCTGTGCTGTTTTGGTTTCTTTGAATAGTTAACTTCACTGACACTGGTGTTTTTTATTGCTGACCTACTTCTGACTCTGGCTTCCGACAGTCTTGCAGAGATTGCACCAGATGGGAAGCCATAGAAAGAAAAAGCACACCCCTTTAAGCCAGGGACTTGGTCCTTTAAGATTTCACATTTCTATGAAAGAGGAGTGGAGAAGGGGCAGGCTGGAGGGAGGGCCTCATCCTGAAAACTCAGTTCAGCTTCGTATGAATGAGTTGTTCAGTTGGAGTTCTCCAAGGTGCTGTACCCACCATCCTGCCTTCTGGTGTGAACTGGTCAGAACAGAGGTAAGGGCAGGGTTCAGACCTTGTCAAACTCTCAATGATGTCATAGGGGACAATCACTAATGGCCAAAGAAGACATTAGGAAAAGTGGATTGTATAAGCCTGTTGAAATTTTTTTGCTAAAGAATTCATGTTCTGAACAGTTTATCATAAGAATATAACAAAACATGAATGAAGAACAATTTTTTGGGGGGGAGGAACAAAGTATTCCAAAATGCAGATTTAAGTACTTTACACTACATCCTCAAGAACAGAGAAGGCAACCTGTGCCTTGTTCAACAAAAGTAATACTGAATAACAAAAGCAGTCATGCATTATTAAAGCCATTATTCAACAGAACTTGATTCTTCTCATGAGGGTACTACATAGTTTAGAGGACAGTAGAACAAAAAGGCTCTCTTATACTGCTTATTGCCAATAATCGATATAAAATATACTATATACGAACAGCTATTATGTCTACCAAAAAAACAACAACACCCCAAGACAGCACTTTCCCCCCCTATCAAACTACCACTCTGTATTAGATTTCCTTTGGACCATGACACTGATATCCCTGCAAGGAAAGGAAAAAGTACTGCAGCGAAGTAGGAAGAGCAGTGAAGTGTATCCACTGCTTTATATGCTATTACTTAAACCCATTAAAAGGTACATCCAAGAAACCATAAATAAACCTAAGCATTATGAGTTTCTAATAATAACTTAAAGCTCAATGTACCGAAACCCTATTCCATTGGCACATCAATGATGAAGCATTACTTTTCTTGCTTCAGCCCTGTCAGCAAATGCAGAACCCAAAAACTGGTGGAAGATCCATTATGCTGTCTTTACTTCACATACCACTGACCACAGTATCCTCCTGGGGAGCCTATCCAAGTGGGTGCCGTTCCTACTTGGGTGACCATCTTCAATGGGTGATGCTTGGGGAATGTTATTCGGCACCATAGGGCCTTCAATGTGGGGACACTCGGGGTTCAATTATATCCCCCCACACTGTTTAATATCTATATGAAGCCGCTGAGTGGGGTCATCGGGAGTTTTGGAGTGTGTTGTCAGCAATATGCTGATGACACACAGCTCTATTTCTCCTTTACATCTACAGGTATGGAAGTGGATGTGCTGGACCGGTGTCTGGCCTCAGTACTGGACTGGGTGAGAGCCAATCCAGTTAAGACTGAGACACTGTTAGTGGGTGGTTCCCTAGACTGGGTGGATGGAAGACTGCCTGCTCTTGAGGGGACTGCACTCCCTCTAAAGGAGCAGGTACGCAGCTTGAGGGTGCTCCTGGACCCATTGCTGTCACTGGAGGCAAAGGTGGCATTGATGACATAGAGTGCCTTCTGTCAGCTTCAGCTGGTGGCACAGCTATGTTGCTATCTAGACAGGGATAGCCTCACTTCTGTGGCCTACGATCTGGTAATCTCTAGGTTAGATTACTTCAGTGTGTTATACATAGGGGGTGCCTCTGAAGACGGTTCAGAAACTTCAGCTCAAGCAAAATTTGACAGTCAGGTTGCTCACCCTCGGAGGGCGACAACACGAGAATAGGCCATTTCTGTTAGGGCTTTCTGTTTCTGGAATGTTCTCTTCAGAGAAGTTTGCCAGGCGCCATCATTACATGTCTTTATCCAAGTCTTCAGCTATTAAACAACCTATGACCTTTTAAATGTGGTGGACCTGTTATTATTATTATTTCTGTGATTGTTAAATTGTTTATTATTATTATTATTATTATGCTATGTAAAATATGTTTTTAATTTTGTACACTGCCCTGGGACCTTTGGATAAAGAACAGTATAAAAATTGAATAAATACAAAATACTAAATTCAAGACTCCTATCTTCATCAAGCTTGAACGATGATTTAAGTACGGCTTCGTTTCTCAGTTTAAGGTCATGAAACTTTTAACATAATAGAAAACTTTTTAAAAATAAAATGGGGGTGAAGTACTCACAAATAACTCAGTGAAGTATTCAGTTTTCTGAAAAATAATGTTTCTTTTAAAAAAAAAAAGGAAAGGAAAGAAAATGCAAGCAATGGAATAACTATCCCATTATCACATTCAAAGGGAAAAGCTACATTGATTTGCTGTAGCCTAAACGGGGGGGGGGGGGGGAGAAACCCTGTGATACCTTAAGGCTTTTTGTGACATAAACTTTAACGGGCAAGTCTACAAAATCTTATGGTACACTAAATTTGTTAACATTTAACCTCACTGGTGCTACAGCTGTCAGAATTCAAAGTCCACATTTCCATCCTCACAGGAAAACCTGTATATTGTTACAAGTATTGCCATTTTACATTCTGAGAAACAAGTCTGAGAAGTTTATAACAGCTTGCTCAATGCATGAGCTAGGATGGGCGTTCAGGGCTCATACTCTGTCCCTTGAATCACAATTCTTTATCTGGCAAGGTACTAAAAAAACATTATTTAAAAAAGGAAACAAGCCTGAAGGGGCTCAAACAATTTTGCTTGGTTGCTTAACTTACATTAGGTCAAGAAATATCCCAGCTGTCCTCCAGGTAAAACTGGCATAAAACTGCAGGTATTTTTTTCACCTTGCCTGTTAACATGAAAAGCCCATTTGCTTTTATCTTATGAACTGTTCTAGAAGTATTTCTAAGCTGGTGCTTTGATTGTTTCTGCTCTCTGCAGTAGACGGGATGGTGTCAGCTAAGTTTAAGTGATGAAATGGATGGGGTGGGGAAAGGGGCTAAATGACCATCAAAATATGGTACTGAGAGGAAGAAGAAGAAGAAGAAGAAGAGTTTGGATTTGATATCCCGCCTTTCACTCCCTTTAAGGAGTCTCAAAGTGGCTTACAATCTCCTTTCCCTTCCTCCCCCACAACAAACACTCTGTGAGGTGAGTGGGGCTGAGAGACTTCAGAGATGTGTGACTGGCCCAAGGTCACCCAGCAGCTGCAGGTGGAGGAGCGGGGAATCGAACCCGGTTCCCCAGATTACGAGACTACCGCTTTTAACCACTACACCACACTGGCTCTCAATTGAGAGAACAATGGCCAACGGCCTTAATTCTGTTGGGTTACTAAAAGTATGATATTGTCATGCATTTGGAAGAGGATGGTGTGATGTGGAGAGATACAGGGAACACAACTGTTGGTTCCCATATATAAAACCTTCTGAGCAACACATATATGGAGCTTTCCATCAGATCATATGATGGTGTTGAGTGATAACGCCAAGGCCTGGTGCCTCCCCCCAATGCAGCGTCGCTCGGGATTCATCACTCTGGTCTCCTGTCACGCTGATGTGGCCCATATCTAGGGACATGAGCACACGACGAGCAGAGTTCAAACAAAAGCTTAGCCTTGAGGAGTAACATCTAAGCCTAATTTATTGCAAATTAGAGCAAACGTAACAGAACAAAGAAAAACATGGCTTCTCTCTCTGTCTTTCTTCCTCGGAGAAAGAACT